ACCCTAACCCTAACCCTAACCCTAACCCTAACCCTAACCCTAACCCTAACCCTAACCCTAACCCTAACCCTAACCCTAACCCTAACCCTAACCCTCACCCTAACCCTAACCCTAACCCTAACCCTAACCCTAACCCTAACCCTAACCCTAACCCTCACGCTTATCACCGGTGTCACCGGCTTCGTCGCTGCCCACGTGCTCGATGCGGTGCTGGCCTCGCCCCAGAAGTACCGGGTGCGCGGCACCATGCGCTCGATGGCCAAAAAAGACGAGATTCTGAACCGTCTGAAGCCCGAGGACCGGGAGCGGGTCGAGTTTGTCCATGTGGAAGACACGGCCTCGTCGGATCTGTCTGGCGCCCTCGACGGCGTCAAAATCGTCTTCCACGTCGCCTCTCCGTTCCAGATCCAGGTGGACGACGTCGCAAAGGATCTTCTGGACCCCGCATTGGATGGCACACTGAACGTGCTGCAGGCGGCCCAGAAGCAGGCCAGCGTGAAAAAGATTGTCATTACCTCGTCCTTTGCCGCCGTGACGGATCTCAACGCCGGGGACACTCAGCGACCGGGCTACGTCTACACGGAAAAGGACTGGAACCCGGCGACGTACAAGGAAGCTGCCGCCGCGACGGGGCCCATGGCCGGTGTCTTTGCCTACTACGCCTCCAAGAAGCTCGCCGAAAAGGCAGCGTACGACTTTGTCAAGGAGAACAAATCCACCTTTGAGATCGCCTCGATCAACCCCCCCGTGATCTACGGCCCGACGATCCAGCCCGGCGTAACCCAGAAGAACCTCAACCTCTCCAGCTCGGGCATCTACGCCATGATTTCCAGCCTCGACGAGATGCCCGGGGACCACCTGCCGCTGTATTGCGATGTCCGCGACGTCGCTCTGGCCCACGTCCTCGCCGTCGAAAAGGAGGGCGCCATGGGCAGCCGCTACCTGACGTCCGGTGGCCTCTTTACCTGGCCCCAGGCCGCTCACCTCTTGGCCGAGAAGCGCCCCGAGCTCAAGTCACGGCTGCCCAAGAACTGGGAACAGGTCCCCGTGGAGGATGTCTCGAGCAAATTTGCCAGTATCGACACCAGCCATGCGCAGAAGCAGCTGGGCCTCCAATTCAGGAGCTGGCAGTCGACCTTCCTCGACAGCGTCGACAGCCTGGTTGAGCTGGAGAAGTCGGCCCACTGGAGCAGATAAGCCAGGAGAATTGCCCGCAATGAAATTGAGTTCAATAGTAGCCTCAGAACGAAATCAATACTAGTAGAGGGTTATTTGGGCACTGTCTGCACCATCTGCGAAATTGAAACGGTGCTAAACGACCACTTTTGGGGGTCATCACAGTCGTTGCCGCTATACTAACCCATCTGACGAGAATATTTTCTTTGTCCTTATTCTCGGTGCGCTTGCTGCTGATGGCCCGCGTTGGTGCATCACCACCTGGGAGGACAGATTCCGACACTGATGGCTGTCGCTCGATATCGTGCGCGTCCAGGAACTTTTTTGTTTGCCCGTCCTTTTGCAATCGCCCCTGCGGCACAGCGTCCAACTTCTTTGCTAGCTCCTCCTTTTCGTATACTGCCGCACCACCGATCGACGTTCCGCTCAACGAAGACCCAGCGTACTTCTTTGGAAGGACAAAGTCGGTCCACTCCTCAGGAAAAGAAGAATCTTTCCTCTCAAAAGGAAGTGGACAAGCTGTCCAAATTGTGCCGTCTTGGCCAAGGAAGCCGTAATCTTGGTGCTCTGCTGTGGTCTTTGCGGTCAGAGGACGGGCGATTTAACGTCGTATCGGATGTGCTTTATTTCACCGCTCAAAGTGTATCGTCCGTGGCATCAAACGATGACTTTCCAGCCTCAGTAAAAATGCTTGGTCCTCGCAAGACCGTATCTCGACCCGCATGCAGAAATATTATATCTCAGATGGAGAACCTTTACGGGCGCAGCGCCTACTGACATGGGAGATTCGACCACCGTAGACTGCTACCTCGACTCAAAGTACGTGTTATAGGCGTTGGATCTGCAGGGTACCGCTGGCCTTGGCTCACGGGACGTATACAAAAACTTACGTATGATTCCCATTATCGGCAATAATTAGCGTGATGTCTGCTCTGTCGCGGATCAGTCTCACCGCCGCCTCCACGTGCTCCATACCTGCCTCCCGGAGCAGCCGGGGCAGCTTCTGGCAGCGAGGTGATCCGTTCTGACAGGTCATGGTGCGCTAGGTCCGGAGAATAAGCGATCGCGCTGCCATGGAATACGGCCCGGCTACGTGCCTCGCGAAAGACACGAGGAGTGTGTTTCTCGCTCGAGCGCACTGGTATGGGCTTCGTGCCGGGAGGGCACGGACCATATATGCCTCGCTGGTCATATGCTACTCCCCAGTCAGACCCAGGCCTCGCTTCTGTGGCCTTGCTATCTTGCAGTGACCACTCTGCAGCAGCACGCAGCATACTATCAAATAACTATTCATTGGCGACGAGCAGATCCACTTTTCCTGCAATTAACCCGACCGGGCCTTAGCAAACCACTGGGCAATTTCACCCACGTTTTGGTCGACAACGTCGGGCTGCTCGTAGTGCTGGAAGTGGTTGGTCTCCTTGTGCCAGATGAGCTTCTTATCCTTGGTGGGAATCGACTCGAAATGACGCTTGGCGGCCGCAGGGTTCATGCTGTTGTCGCCGTGAATGATCAGGGCGGGCTTGTTGAGCTTGGCCACCCCGGGTACCGTCGTGTACGCAAAGTGGTCCAGGTCGCTGTGCACCGCATAGCGGTTCTCAAAGTTTTTCAGCGTCCAGGGGCCGTAGAAGGCCCAGACCACCGGGCCGGGGAGGCCAGCGAGGGCGCCCGAGTCCGGGTCGGCCGCCTTGGGGTCCACCATCGGCTGGTACTGCACCTCGCCCGTCTTATCAAACACTTCCCTGGCCTTCTTTGCCCGCTCCAACCGCTCCTTGAGCAGCTTCTCACCCTGCTCCGGCGTGGGCATCTTCATTGCACCGATGTCCGCACCCGGCGTCCAATTCACACAACCGGCCGAGATCATGTAGATGTCCGTCTCGTGATCTCGAAAGTAGCCCGTCACTGCGGCCACCGCTTTAACTCGATCGTCTTTGGCGGCCATGTCCAGCGACTGCGGGCCGCCTTGGCAAATGCCGGCGAGGTACAGCTGGGACTTGTCGACGTCGCTGCGGCTCTCGAGGTAGTCGAGACCGGCAATCATGTCTTCGTTTTTCATCTGAGGGTTCTCCAGCCGCCGCGGCTCGCCGGTGCTCTCGCCCACCGTGCGCGGGTCAAAGATGAGGGCAGCGTAGCCCTCGTCGGCCAGGCGGGTGGCATATTGGAAGGGGGCCTGTTCCTTGCAGAACGAGTAGGGGCCGGTGACCACAACGCCGGGCGAATTCTTGACATTCTTGGGCTTGAAGAGCACACCGGCGATGGTTTCGCCGTGCGATGGGTAGGTGACCTTCTCGGTGGTGTAGTTGCCATGAGCGACGGTCATGATGAATGGGTAAGATTTGGAAAGAGGAGGGAGGAAGAGATAGAAAGCGGTGCTTGGTAGAGAGGCAAGTCAGTGCTTGGGGGAAGAAAAGAGGAGATTTTGGTTTCTGGTAGCCTATATATATCTTTGCTACACTGCTAACGCAAGCCTGATACAGTACAAGCTGGCAAGAGAAAGAGGAAGAGCAGCCACTGTTTCTCAACACCTGAAGGGTCGTTCTCTGCAGGCGAAGCGAGACGTGCAAGCCTGGACGCGTATTCATGCCGCTTTTTCGCATGCTAGCCTGGTCGGCAACAGCGAGCCGACCCGCTGTGTTTGCTCACACGCGCTTGTCCGAACGGCGAATCCTACTGACAAGGTGCTAGACTTGCTCGCAATGATTGAGATGCGCCGCGCTGGCCCGCACTGCCAAGCAGCAGCTGGGCACTGTGTCCTGCTGAACGGCTTCGAGCAAGGGCAAACTCTCTTTTCTCGGGCCCTTGATCCGCCAATCTCTCCTACGTCGGCGGACCCTGCTGATGCGGCCGTCTCATGCCCGCGAAATCGCGGACAAAATCCGCCCTCTCCTCCGCTCGTTTCCGCTAGCCCTAAATGAACCTTCGGTGCAGGAACGATCGGGCAAGAGTTTTTTACTCCACACGCACGTGGTGCATGGCTCTCAAGAGCTGGCTGCCTCGAGATCTACACGTTACAATTAACATCCACGGAGAAAGGCACTCATGAAAAGGAAGAAGACGCTGTCGTGCGCGACGTGCCGCGTCCTCAAGCGCAAGGTGCGTCGAGCGTGTCTTGTCCCGGAGACCAAGACTCACATCGATAGGTAACCAGTGCAGCCGCGATCAGCCTTGCTCACAGTGCGAGAGGACGAGACGCCCTTGCCAGTATGAGGAAGATGACGATGGTAGCGAGCGACAGCTGAGACGTACCGCATCACCCGATACCGAAGCCGTCGTCGAGCTGCTGAGCACCTGGCCTTTTGTCAATGCACTCCTCTCCGTGTGGTTTAGGGAGCTGGACTACATGTACGACTCGTTCAGAGCAACCGAGGTCGAGGTGCTCTGGCAAAAGCAAGAGTTGGATGGCAAGCGGCATCCAGAGTATATTCCACTTCTCGCCGCCGCGCTTGCGCTTGCGGCGCAGCTACACGGGGCCGACCTAGCTGCCAGTGTTGCTGCGCTGCATGGGCCTTGGCCGCTCAGCGGGACTGTTATCAGTGCTGCCTTGAGTCTGGCGGAAGATCGATTGGACACCGTCTTTGCAGAGCCAGATGAGCACCTGGACTGCATGCCTGAGAGCCTGCAGGCCTCGCTGCTTGTCTGCTCATTCTATAAAAACACCGGCCAGGCCAATCGCTACAGAGCCAAGCTCTATAGCTACATCTCGTCGCTCCTCAACCTCTCCTACCATCTGCTTGATTCCTACCCTTCCGACAAGGGAAAGGAGACGGAGGCGCCACCATCGCTTGCAAACTTGACCATCCAGCAGCGCAGCCTCGTCCGCCACCTTTTCTGGACCTTTTTTGCCTGCGATCGCCTCTACATCATGATGGGAGGACCGGCGTCGTCTTACTGCATCAATGCACGGCATTGCGATGTTTGGCTGCTTGCCGGTCCAAGAGCGAGGCACGTCCGCGACCTCTGTTGTCCCCGTCCATCGTCGCGGCACGAGGGACATCTACGGAGTGGGCCAAGTGTTGAGAAGGAAGCCGGCGCGTCGCATTTCATTTGGGCTATGACCGAAGTGGCAGCCGTAGCAGGTCATTGCACCGACAGCCTCAATCAGCTGCGCTCTTTGCAAGCCGAGGCTTCGATGGAAGAGTTCCGCGAGGCCTGCATACGGCAGGTGTGCGAGGTGGAGGCCGACGTCGACACACTGGACGTTGATGTTGCTGCGCAGGTACACGACGCCCGCCAGAGACACGTCTTGACCCTGACGATCTACAGGCTCCGAAGGGACATAGCTTTGGCGCTGGCCTCGCTTCTTCCTCTACCTCTCGCCGGCCCTTACCAGTCATGGCTTCTGCACAAAGAGGTGGAATCCGCAAAAGCACTGCTGCTTCGCGGCCTCGAGGTACCCATAGACGTGGCCCCTCGTGCGATGGGGTGGATCTTTTACCTGCACTATCTCGCCGAGCCAACTTTTGGCCTTTTAAAAGCTATCATGTCTGCTCGCTCGACTCGCAGCGACTACGACGACAACGGTAGCGGCGGCGACGGTGGCGCCCATCTAGATGTGGAATCCATCTTCGAGGCTGTGCTGAAGGGCAGAAACCTCATCTGTCTCGTGGCCCGAGAGAGCGGGGTCCCCTTGGCCCTGGACCTCGCTCGTAAAGTGTGCCGCATGCTCCAGGAGAAAACTGCGTCTCTCGAAAACTTTTCGAAAGAGTGCGAAGCCGTGGGCGATGCAGACGTCCAGGTCGATGCGGTCCAGGTGTGCCAGACCTACCTGCAATCTAGGTTGGCCCGCGAGCCCGCCAGCTCGCTGCACAGTCACGAGATGACAGCGAGAAGCAGCAGTCCTGCTCTGAGCGAGCGTCTTCGTGATGCTGGCCTCGACCTGTCGCCCTATGCTTGGTCGTGGAGCTCGGAGCTAGAAACGGATCCCTTGTTTTCTGCGCTCGGCTCGCTCTTCATGCTTCCGACCACGTCGGCTCCTGCCCGCTGATGGGGATCCGACGACTGCACCGCAGAACGTGACGGAATTTCGCGTTGTCAAGAGTAGTGACATCGATCACATCTGCAATGTCGTTGTACGTCCGATCATTGAGGGTCTCTTTTTCGAACGTCTGGCGCCTTTGCGGTGTACGTCGCTTCTTTTCATCAACATCAAGATTGTTCGGAAGGGAAGCATTGGAGCATGTTTACTTTGCACGTGGCTGCGTGGCATTTCAATCGAAGCGCCGCTGATGCCATTTGTATCGATAGTATGGCGTTGGCTATCATTCCAGCAATAAAGCATGTAGATTTAGGTGCCGATCAATACTAAAGGCATAAGTAGAAAGATCACGCGCGCTGCGTGAATGCGGTGCGCAGCTCATCCGGAGACGGGTCGTTTGTCAGGGGGAGCTCGCACTTCTCGGCCATCCAGGCATAGCGCTGACCGTGGCTCATGTCCCACGGCACGGTGCGCATTGGCGGGCGGACGCGCTTCTGCATGGCGTCCTGCAGCTCGACTAGCGACGACGGCCAGTAGAAGATGTACACGCCAATGGCGAGCAGCAGCGGCGCAGAGTCGAGGCCAAAGAACCAGGCTGTGGAGGAGTCAGTACAGTGGTGCAGCACGGCAGCACGGCAGCACGGCAGCGCGCCACTCACACTCCTTTGTGGAAATGGACCCGTTGTAGCCCTGCGCGAGCTCGATGGTGCGGTACACGGACCGAACAATGATCCAGACGGAGGAAAAAGCCAGAACGAGCAGCAGCGCACGCAGTTTCACGCGCTGCGTGCCATCGACGCTGTCGTTTCGTCGCGCAAACTGGACGACGGGCACCGCGAGCGCAAGGAAAAAGACATAGGAAGCAAATTGCGCAATGATACCAATCAGAAACACCGTCGAGCCAGCCGACTGCAGATTGATCTTGACTTGCATCCCGCCGCCAGCAGCCTGCACCAAAAAGGTGGTGACGTCGGAGATAATAAAGATCAGGCCGAACTTCTGCGGCGGGAGAAAGGTGAGATGGGCGCGCTTTCTCGGCAGGCGGACGTGCTGCTCCAAGCGCTGCACCAGACGGCCGAACCAGATGTAGTTGAAGGCAAAGTAGCAGGCGGGCGCGAGGACGATAAAGATATCCATTGGCAGATAGAGCGGGAGGCTCTGCGGCTCGTTGGCGAGCGGCAGCCGGAGGAAGAAGCCTGCGCCTTGGAGCGCGGCGCCGATCGGCAGGCAGAGCGCCCACCAGTCGCGGTGGTTGACGAGATTGGCAAAAAGGAGCAGTGCGACGGCCTCATAAAGCAAGCCAAAGACGACGTTGCCGCCCGCATCGGGCTTGTAGTCTGTGGGGGAATGGGAGTGAGAGGGGTTACAAGGGGCGCGCAGGGGACAGATGCATACAGAGAATGCTGTCCGAGGGGACGCCGGGTGCCTTCATTCGGTAGGCCATGTTGATTGCTGGGTGATGGGTGCTAGAAATGAGTCCGACATCGCAGTGCTGGGGGCTGTATAAATACCTTGTCGTCGTCCCGTCTGGGCGTCGCGAGTGCCTGCGAGTGTCCGCGACTGCTTGCGAGTGCCTGCAGTGCCGACGGAGCTAGGCGGGAACCAGTTCCGCGCTGGGCACGATCGCAGAGGATTAGATCCGCGTGGGCCCAAGCGCAGAGGAATAGATCCGCGCTTGCATGAATAAATTCGCGACAGCTCCGCGTCCCTGCTTCCGACTACCTGGCTCCGGCAGCCCCGACGACCACCTGGCTCCGGCGACCGAGGCGATCTCCACCAGCTCCGGCAAGCAATGCTGGCTCCAGCGACCTGCCACCATCATGAGCGCGCAGGACGAAGCGGCCTCAGCTAAATACGACGCCAGCATGGCTGCATCCCCGGCACAGCCAGCCAAGCGACACCGGACACATGCGAGCCGATCGTGCCTGGCCTGTCGCAAGCGCAAGACGCGGTGCTTGCTAGCCAACACCGCAGTGCCGTCGAGCCTGGCGCCGCTGGCGAGCGAGGACGCATGCGCGCGGTGCGTCTCGTTGGGCTTGGAGTGCGTCGTCTGGGATGGCGACCGCAAAGGCACGCGCTACGCGTACAGGGACAAGGACTCGCAACAGCGGCAGGCGAGACCGAAGCAGCACTCGGGGCCACAGCGGCAGTCGGGACAGCAGCACGGTCAGAACAGACAAACATCGCCTCCTCGCAGCGATGGGCACCCCAACAACGAGGCTCTTCTAACCCCCTTCTACCCACTTGATCCTGTTTTTGAGCCGCACAGCGACACGCCATTGCAAGCAGGGAACGAAGATGCAGGCACGCCTTCGGTCGCACGGGCCTCGCTGGAAAAGATGGTGCTGCGGACCAGCGACTCGCGACTGTTCCGTATCCTGCGCCGGCCCATGCTCATGCTGCACGTCCTGCTGGCGCGGCAGAATGTCTTTCGTGTCGGCGTGCCTGGCGGGCAGGACGACGAGCGCCAGGCAGCGCACTGGCTCGCGTCCGTCGTCCAGCGTCTCTGCGCTTCGTCGCAGACGCGCCAGCGGCTTCAGACATGCGACTGGGGCCTGCTCATGCAACATGTCCACCTCCCCCGGCTGCTCGAGTGCATCGAGCTGTACGGCAGGCACGGCCAGCGCTCGGCGGCCACGTCGCTCCTGCTCTGCATGATGCTGTACCTCTGTCGCGCGTGGCAGGCCCTGGGCGAGGACACAAACACAAACGAGGACAGCATGCCGCGTCGACTGCCGCAGCTGATTCGCATGTACGCGCGTCAGGTCATGGTGCGTGCCCCGCGCAGGGTCGAGACGGCGCAGGCGCTGGAGCTGCTGGCCGTCTACATGCCCCACATACTCGATGGCAGCGAAGAGGAGCGCCGTCTGGCCGACGACGACGACGACTCGACTGCGGGCACGTCGATCATGGCCATCGCCATCGACATCGGCGGCGCGCTGGCCAGCGCGGCGACCAGCGACGTCACGCACGACGGAGCAGACGTCCGGCACGTGCGCGCACTGTGGGCCAGCCTGGCATGCTGGCAGACGGCTTTGAGTCTCCACGAGCAGTCGCCAAGTCCGCCCAATCGGGCAGCACTGGCGCAGCCGCTTGCGTCGTGGTGGGCGGACAACGACGACGATGATTATTCTTCTGCTGCTGCACGAGCGGCCGGGCTGACGGCTCTCCAGGTGCGCTGCGAGACAGTCCTGCTGACAGCAGAATACGAGATGGAGAACGAGTCGCTGACGAGGATGGTGCTGTCGGACGAGGCATTTCGCACGCGGCAGGCGGCCACGGTAGGGGCCTACCTCGAGGCGCTGCGCGACGTCGCAGCCGTTCGTCGCACGAAGCTGGACGGCGCACTGGGCGCGGTGGTCCACAAGGCAGCGATGCTTGCCCCGCTCGTGCGGTCGCTGTGGCTCTGGCTCGAAATGGAGTCAAAGGGGATGTTTGAATCGCTGCTGTCCAAGGGGCTGGGCAATCTCCACGATCGGCGTCTGCGCTCGCCACATCTGAAGCGGCAGAACGGCCTGCCGGTGCACCTGATCTGGCAGGACCCCGACTGGGGCCAGTCTGTGCGCGAGCTGGGCTCGCAGAGAAACGGAGACATGGTGGAGATGCTGGCGCGCTTCTGCCAGTTTGGCTGCCTGCTGGACGAGCACAGGCGAGCCGTGTCGGCAAGCGGGGCGGTACATCCTTCGATGCTGTTGCTGCCGATGCACTATCTCTGCGCGTTCGTCCTCAGCGCAGCCAAGGCGCTGCTCGACACGCAGACGGTGCTGCTGTGGGGCCGCAAGCATGTCCACCCCGACACCGACGCACACGTCGCGCTGATGCATCGGCTCGCCGACGTCATGGCGGCACTGGACATCGTCGGCTTCACCACGTATTCTGGCACGCGCGAACAGGGCGTCAGCCAGTGCTCGTCGGCCATTGTGCGTGTCGTGGCCGACACGATGCTGGCGTGGCAGGAGCGCCGGAGCCTCGTCCTGGCGCGTCACCGGCTGGAGGAGAAGGCGAGACGAGAGAGCATCGCGGTCTCCCATTCGTCTGCGCTGTCTGATCCCGCAGCGACGAAGCCCTTCAGCAGCGGCCACGAAGCGCCCTTTGATATCAGCCTACCGCCTGTGGCGAGACTGGACGACGTGCCGCTCTTCGACTCGCTCTTTGGCGGCCTCATGGAGATACCCGAGTGGAGCGCAATGATGGAGTCACAGCTCTCATTCGCCTGACAGTTCCGGCTGATCAAACAAACCAAGCGAGATCTCATTGAATGCCGTCTATGTAACTAGATTACAAGCGCTCAGGTCCGTCGGCCTTCGCGATAGGCTCGGAAAGCCAACTCCGAGCCGACGCTTGTACCTTCGTCGCCTCGGGGTGAGCATAAAAGGCAAGGTGTGTGCCGCGGTCCATGACAACAAGGCTGCTGTGCGGCAGCCGGGCATGCGCCGCGCGGCTGTGCTCAATGGTCGCATCGGTGTCTGCATCGCCGTGGATCAAGAGCACCGGGCACTGGACGCGCTCGAGCTCCAGGGACGTGATGCGGGCAAAGTTCCTGACGTCGTTCTGCCACCCTGCCTGGCGCTTGCCTCCAGTATTCACCGTCAGCACGATATCGAGTACGAGTTGACGCTGCTTAGCGTCGGCCATCACTTGCTGGGTGAGACTACCAACTTCGTCTCGACGAAGCGATCCCTCATTTTCGAGTGCCCCTTCCACAACGTGCTCGGGCGCAGCTCGCGTCAGGTGAGCAACGATGCGTTCACCAATCGATGTTCCAAACATGAAACGCTCGAGCATCGTCGGCCTGCGCGTAGTCCAGCAGGAGCTCACTGCAGCGATGGCGACAAGGGCGCTAACACGACTGGGATGTCGGACTGCAAAGCGGTACGCGGCTGGGCCCCCTCCTGACCATGCCAGCACGCCGGCGCGGCTGATCTCAAGGGTGTCGAGGACCGCGGCGAGCAGGTCTGCCTCGCGGTCGATGGACGCATCCTTTGCATCCAGCGGCGTCCCCAGGTATCCGGGACGCGAAAGGCAGATGACTTGGAAGCTGTCATGCAAGAGGAACTGGCTCATCGCCCGAGCGCCATCGATGCCGCCCGGGCTGCCATGCAACACCACGACAGGCAAGCCGGAGCCTTGCGTTTCGATCTCGACAACCCCGGCTGCCGTCTCGATGCTCTTTGCAGTCATGAATGTGAAGCAGCAACGCCGGAGCGACGCTCTTCCCTCTCGAGGAGTCTGCTCTCATGCATTCGAACCATGCCGAGCACCCGGCAGCAATTAAGCTTTGAAACACCCATCATATTAGCTTATGTAATCTGACCCGCGTGGTTGTTTGCGGCTTAGTAATAAAGGCCTTCTCTCTTCCATCGCTTGTATTTACTTGGCACGCCATTGAATGAGATTAAGTTCTTGAAGTCTATATGAGGCAGTCTAATCTTACGTAGTCTATGAGAGAATGTGGTGAGAGACACTAGAATACAGTACCAACTCAGAGGCTGGCGTGGACGGCGGACGGCGGCTTGGCCTCGGTGTCAATGTCAAGCATGAGTTGCTCGCCCTGCCAGCGGGCATGCACGTGCGACAGGTCCTTGACGACGTAGTCGGCGCCCACGTCCCACAGTCGCTCGGGCTCGTCGTGCGTCGTGCGCAGGCCGATGACTTTGGCGCCAGCTCGCTTGCCAGCCACGGCACCGGCGGGAGCGTCCTCGACAACGACGCAGCGGCTCGCATCGGCGCCCACGAGGTCGGCGCCCATCAGGTATGGCTGAGGATCCGGCTTGCCCTTGGTCACATGGTCCGCCGTGACAAACGTCTTGGGCGGCGAGGAAACCTCGGCGGCACCGTAGACGCGCTCGGCGTAGTCTTGTCCAGCGCTCGTGACAATGGCCCAACCAGGGTTCTGAGCAGACGCCGGCCTGTCCTTGGCGATCTCCTCGATCAGCTGTTGGGCACCGGGAATCGGTGTGATCTGGCCCTCGACGTTGCGTTGGCGCTTGGCAGCAGCGGCGATCTCGATGATGCGGTTCTCGAATCGCGCCGCTTCCGCTTCGGCCTCCTCCTGGCTCAGGTGCGGGATGAAACGCTTCATGTTCTCGACTGCACGGTGCCCGTGGCAGGTGTTGACGACGTGGTTGTAGTCCAGGTTGTACTTTTCCGAAAACTCGGCCCAGGCGGCCGTCAAGGCGGGCGTGGTGTCGACGAGGGTGCCGTCCATGTCAAACAGGACGGCGTCGATGGGGATGGTTTGGACTGTCATGATGGGTTGTACGTGTGTTGAAGGAGGAGGAAGACGAGCGCTGTGCTTGCTTTATATACCTCTTCCTCGCCCTCTTTCCATCCGTTTCTGCGCGCATATCTTCGTCGACAGCAGCGAGACCTTTGCGAGGAGTGAGTTTTTGGAAATTTTGTCTTGCATATGTTGCAGCACGAGCCTGTTGCTTTGCGCGTGTCCCCCTGTCGCAGACACGACGTCGAACCGTGGCCTGCTCGGTGATGACACGACACATAGGCGAGATGGACCGACGGGAAAATTAAGCGCCTTATGCCGGCGAATTGTAGTGAAAAACTTTTTTCTACGCTGCTCTAGCGCCTCGCGTCGCGCGCCTCGACCGAAGCCGAGCTGACCTGGCCAAGAAGGCTCCCGCCGACTTTCACCGAGCCATCCGCGTGAGAGGGCGAAACAAACAAATTTTTTCACAGAATGCTTGCATGACACGTGCGGCCCGCTTCTTCCGTTGCTGGATGCCTGACCAGCAACACAACGGCAAACGAGACGGGTATGAAGGCGTGCCGAACGGGGACAAGAGGCCAAGCGAGGACGAGAGGACAGGAGGCCAAGCGAATGCCGCTGAAAACCCAGAAGAGAGGGCAGATTGGACTGGCCCCATTGCCTGCCCGACGTACTGTTATCAGGTCGGCGCGGCCATATGGCAAGGCGTGAGAATGATTATATTGCTCTTCTAGCGTCCCGCGTGAGATAGGCCCGCTCGTCGTCATCTGCTTCTTTGCCTGTTCCCGGATCATAACAGTGGCATTTCCGAAGCATGTAGGCAGCACGACATTTGATGCGTTTTGGCCTGCGCATACTGGCACTGACCCCTGCACCAGGACGACTCGACCGAGGTTCAGAGATTGGAAAGCATCGTCATCGCGCGCTCACCACGTGGCTTACCCACGTGCGCAACGTCCCGCGCGCAGAGTATCCAGCTCCCAGTTCAACGGGCCCTCCGGCTTGGATCAAGATATCCATTGGCACTCTGTACGAAACATAGCACCGGAGCTTTCCCTCGCTCGACTCTAATTACATGACATTAACTACCTCGGAGCCCCCGTGTCGCGCCCGGCCACCACACGATCGATCACCTCCATCGTGTGGTCCCAGACCTTCTTTGCTGTGTCCGGCTGGCGATGCTTTTCAAAGCTCGTCCCCTTCTCCTTCCACTCCGCTCGATGGCCGGTCGCGTAGGAGCCGCCACCCACCTCTCCCTTGGTGCTCCGGGCCACCTGTTGGTTCCCGGACTCGCTGGCTGTGCCCTGTGCCGGGAACGTGGGCGTAGCGAGGAAGAGCATAACCTGGCCGCAGTCCTCTGCAGAGGTCATGTACCACCCGAGAACCACCTTGATCACTGGCCACAGCCAGCGGAACCAGAGAGGGGTGTTGCTTTCGACGTAGAATGCAGGTCCATCGACCAGCCCTGGATAGACGTAGGTAAAGCTGATGTGACCTGCATGCTTTTCGGCCAGCGTCTCGAACATAAAGACCTTCATGAAGCTGGTGTACTTGCGCACGCCCCCAACGCCGTACTCCTCGGGCGGAGGCAGACCGATCGGTTGCTGGCCCGGCTTGATAGGGTCCTCGAAGTTACCCGCGTAGATGGAGATGACGTGGGCAGAGGGAGATGCGGTAAGCAGCGGCTCGAGCTGCATGATGAAGCGGATGCGAGAGTAGTACGTCGTTGAAAGAAACGTGTCGAGGCCCTCGGACGTGTCTGCCAGCTGTCTCAGCGCACGCATCACAGACCACCAGAATACAACTGCGGCACACCCACCTTCGCGCTTCTTGAGTACTGGCCAGCAGTGGCTCATGTACAGCAGGTCCACCCGCGCAGGTCCACCCTGGAACGGCGCTCTTTCTTCGCGCCGGCGAATCTCGGCGCAAATGTCATCGACCTCATTGATCAGTGCCAGGTTCTTCGCAGGCACGTACTGCCAGTCGGAGCCGGGGCTCAGCTGCCTGCCGTCCTTACACAGAGCCTCGGCTCGCTCAGCATTGCGTCCGACTATGTAGACGCGCAGCTTGGAGCCCGAGGACGCGAACGCCTTGGCCAGCTCCTTGGCCGTATACGGTCCGATGCCTGTAGTCGCCGTGAACACAGCAACTAGGGGAGGGCCATCGTGCAGTTTCGCTGTGGCAGCGCGGATCACGTCGAGGGAAGGCATGGTCGAGCTTGCTGGGTCACAGCTACCGGCGGCCCAACGCTTTTGAGAAGCCTGAGTTGCGCTAAGCTTGTTTTCATGCGCGCGGCAGGCCATCGGCACTGAACCGATAGTAAGGGCGTGCTGCTTTCAAGAGACTTTTGACAAGGCATGTATCTGCTGCACACAAAGAAAAAAAGGGCTGCTTGCAGCTGCGCCTTGATCACTCGATCGACAGGGCGGGCAAGAGCAGAGATGAGCACGACTACAGAGCGACTGATGAGCGCTCACCCACATCTCGGCCGAAGTGGAGGTTCACGGTGCAGTTCTGTCATGCGCCGGCACATCGAGCCGTGGTCACCACCACCACCATGAAGGCCATAGTCGCTGGCGCTACAGGGACGCTTGGTCTGCGGATCCTCAAGCGGCTGGTGCAGGATGCGGATGTGACCTCGATTGTGACGCTGACGCGCCGCCGTCTGGAGCCTGGCGGTGAGTCGGCCAAGGTGACGCAGGTGGATATCGAAGACTTTCTCCAGGCAAATGACGCGACCGACCGCCTCATCGGTGATGCTGACGTGTGCTACTGGTGCGTTGTCCGTCTCCTCACCGTCTTTTGCACCTAACTCAGAGGCAAAGAGGAGCAGGTCGATTGGAACAACATTTACGCAGTCCCTGACAATGGATCCGAGCGAAATGAAGCGCGTCGTCGACGTAGTGACCATCGGAGGCATCAGACGTTTGCTGGATGCACGCACTGTAGGCCGGCCCTTGCGGCTCGTCATGCTTTCGGGCCACCACGTCATCCACGCCCAAGACACGGCGCCCAAAGACGTTCCCAACAGGGACTTTCTCATTTTGCGAGTGCGTGTCTTGTCGCTCCCTTGGCTGGATACCTTGCTGACCGAAACGATCTCAGGGACAGGCCGACGTGTTTGCGCTCGAAACAGCGCAGAAGCAGCCAGCGCTGCTCGAGACGTATGTGGCCAAGATCGGAGGCGTCGAGCGGCCCGAGCGGCCCCTTAGCGACGAGGCCAGACAGCGCATGGCGCAGTTCAAGGTGCCCCTGATTCATGTCGATGACCTGACCAGTGCTCTCGTCTTTGTGGGCAACGGAGGAAGGCATATCGCCGGGCAGCCCGCTACGGTGCTGTCCAACGACGACCTTCTTGCCTGTGGTAGACAGGCATCGTCGGTCTAGACGCACATCCGCAGCGAAGACTGTCTTTGCAAGCAGGACAGTTGGATAGAGTGATGCGCGGTTCTTCACGTGGAGAAGGCAGACTCTCACGCAGACTAGGGCGCCAGCGCGCTACAGTGCTGTGTCAAGGCCGTGAACATGGGCAGACCCAGGAAAGGGACACTGGCGGTGTCGTTCTAAATAAAGGCACGGTTCCCCACGCGCCAATATATTAGAATGTTCCGCGGAGAAGGGGCTCAAAGTTCTGCCTGAGACACCGCAAGCTGTCAGCGCACTGTATCATTATTATGGACCCGATTAGAATGCTTGGCTCGGAAAAATAGTGGGTGCCTAGTGCAGTGGGGAAGCCGAGGAGGATCCCAGGTGCCTCTATATATAGTCTCGCCCGCTCCTATCTTCCTCGATCTCTCGCTCTCTGCGACAACCATGAAGGCTCTGCTCCTGCTGCTCTTGCTCCTATGGCAAGCGGCGGCTTCGTCTGACCTCGCTGAAGCCTTTCGCAAAGCCGGGCACAGCCTGGCTACGCTCGGCGACGCACACAGGATACCCTCGGGCGGCTCGAGAGATACATTGGGCTATGAGACGCGCGACGCCCGGCCGTCGCGAAGGAGACACTTCAACTCGCGGCACAGACTCCACAATCGACAGACGAATGCGACAGCCACCAGCGCGACGCTGGCGAATGGATCGGGCAGCTGGCACGCCGCCTTTGTGCGTGCCAAGTCGCTCGTGGGCCAAATGACGCTGGACGAAAAGGCAAACATCACCACGGGCACAGGCGACACTGTGTGTGTGGGCGGCACGGGTGCAGTGCCGCGTCTCGGCCTGCCGGCGCTGTGTCTGCAGGACGGCCCCACGGGTGTCCGGTCCTCGCTCAACGTGTCCCAGTTCCCCGCCGAGGTCAGCGCGGCGGCCACGTGGGACGTCGAGCTGATCGCTGAGCGAGGCCGTGCGATCGGACAGGAGTTCCTCGACCGCGGTGCTGCATTCATGTTTGGGCCCGTCACGGGCGGTCCGCTGGGACGCTCGCCGCTCGGCGGTCGCAACTGGGAGGGATTCGGGTCGGACGAGTACCTTTCGGGCCAGGCGAGCTATGCCTCGGTTCGTGCCAGCCAGGAGACGGGCATCGTCGCCTGCTCAAAGCACTGGCTGGCCTACGAGCAGGAGACCTCTCGCAACATCCATCTCATCTTTGGCAATCTCCAGCAGCCCATCTCGTCGGACGTGGACGATCTGGCCACGCACCAGCTCTATGCCTGGTCGTTTGCCGAGGCAGTGCGCGCGGGGACCGGCATGGTCATGTGCTCGTACAACCGTGTCAACGGCAGCCATGCCTGCGAGTCCGACCGCCTGCTCAATGGCCTGCTCAAGCACGAGCTCAACTTCCAGGGGAGCGTCGTGAGCGACTATGGGGCCGCCTACTCGGGCGTGGACAGCGTCAACGGCGGCCTCGATCTGCTCATGCCGGGAGCAGGCCTGTTCGGCGTCTTTCCCAATTACTTTGGCTCGCACGGCAGCAAGCTGGCCGACGCAGTGCGCGACGGCAAGGTCGCCGAGGCGCGGCTGGACGACATGGTCATCCGCATCCTGACGCCAGTCCTGCACTACCAGCTGCACGATACTGGCAACGTAGACGAGATCAAGCAGCCCAACTTCGACGCCAACACTTTTCCCTCGGACGCGCCCGATGTGCAGCGCGACCACTACAAGGTCATCCGGAGGCTGGGAACAGAGAGCGTGACGCTGCTCAAGAATTCAAACAACACCCTGCCTCTGCAGGTCAATCGCATCAGCAAGCGTGAGTCTTGCCCGGAGACTGCGGTGCTCTCTGTTTGCTGACTGACAGTGCGTTCTCTTGGCAAAGTCGCCGTGATCGGACAGGACGCCGTTGCGTCGTCGGATGACCAGGCCTCGTGCAACGCCCTTGGATCCTGCCTGGTGTCCGATCAGGGCACGCGGACCAACGGAGAAGGCTCGGGCTTCACGACGCCACGTGAGTGCACGGCTGCCGGTCCTGACGCGGCTCACTGCTCATCTTCATGCTGTCCCACGCAGCCTACGTCATCGACCCGCTGTCGGCTATCCGTGCCTACACGCTCGAGCACAACCCGCGCATCAAGATCACGAGCAGCCCGCAGACGCTGTTCTCGACCGACCCCGCCAAGGCAGCCGAGGACGCCGACGTGGCGCTCGTCTTTGTGTCGGCGCTGGGCCAGGAGGGGCAAGACCGCAGCGACCTCAAGCTGGACCGCAACGGCGACGAGCTCATCAAGAGGGTCGCCAAGGTCAACAACAACACCGTCGTCGTGGTGCATGCCCCCGGGCCTGTGCTGATGGAAGAGTGGATCGACAGCGTCGCAGCAGTGCTGTTCGCCTACTACCCGGGCCAGGAGAGCGGCGCAAGCCTGACGCCTGTGCTCTTTGGAGACGAGTCGCCGTCGGGAAAGGTGCGTGCATGCTTCTGCCCCGTGGATGTAAGCTGCTCACCATAGCCTCTTGCAGCTCCCATTTGTGATTGGCAAGTCGCTAGATGACTGGCCACCAAATACAATCGTCAACCGGCCGTTCGACTACACCCCCTCGGCCAACTTCTCTGAAGGGCTGCTGACCGACTGGAAGTGGTTTGATGCGCACGGCATCGAGCCCCGCTTCGCGTTTGGGCACGGCTTGTCGTACAGCGCCTTCCACTACAGCCCCGTTGCGCAGGCTGCGCGCGTATTTGAGGCCGATGACGGCTCGCTCCAGCCCACAAAGGAGACATTCGCAAAGTCGGGCCCCTTCACCGAGGGCAGCTCGCTCTACGATGTCGTGCTGCACGTATCGGCTCGCCTGACCAACACCGGCGGACGAACGGCAAAGGAAGTCGCGCAGCTCTACGTTGCGCTGCCCGACAGTGCCGGCGCCGAGCAGCCACGCCACCTCCTGCGTGGGTTCCGCAAGGTGCAGCTCGATGCCGGGCAGACAAAGACAGTCACCTTCAAGCTGCGTCGAAAGGACATAAGCGTATGGAACGTCGTGCAGCAGCAGTGGGCAGTGCCGACAGGACGCTTTCGCTTCTTTGTCCAGGGCTCAAGCGGACAGTGGGACGCGGGCCAAGGAGCAAAGGGCTCCTTCACGGTCTGATCTGCCTCGGGCATCGTCTCTGGCGGTCTGGAACCTGCTCCTGACCGGCTTCTGGCTATCGCGCACCTCGAGTTCATGACACTGTACTGTGAAAATACGATATGTTCTTGCACAGACACAACGTGCGCCAAGAGATGAGGCCGGTCTGGATCCACCATGGCCAGTCTGCGGCGCACTTCATTCAGGCTGTCAAAAACCAATCGAGGGCGCCAGCCACCGACGAGACGATGGATAATTTTAGAAAATTGTGGAGCGAAGGCCTGAGCAACAGCCAACGGCAGACGTGTTTCTGGACACGTTCGCTCGTGCATGAGATAGAGCTTCTCTTGGCACCTCGCTGAATTTGACCATCTTCTTGGCAGCGCTGGCCATTAAGCATTTGCCGCACCATTCTATTCTGGCTTGCTGCGTGGTCGAATAGATTGCGCGGGAAATTGATTAGTCGCAACGTCTTAGACTGCGCATGTTCCTGGGCGGAAGAAGCACATGGCTCCGGTGGTCAAGCCACCGCCGTCTCGCTCTGACAGCCGCTTGCGAAGACGTGGATGTGAAGAGTGGGCGAGGAGTGGACAAGGAAGAAACGAAGTGAACGAAGAGCGGGCGGGAACAAATGGGGAGAAGATCGCGATGGCCAGTCGCAGAGATAAAAGGAGGTCAGATCCATCTCACTCCCCTTCCTCAACCTCAGCCAGCTTCCTACTCTACACGCCTCATCCACCATGGCGGTCCTTCACCAGTATGACTACATCTTTGCGATCGGCACGATGTTTGCCATGCTCGACGCATTCAACAACGGTGCCAACGACGTCGCCAACGCCTGGGCCACCTCGGTCTCGTCGCGCTCCATCAGCTACCGCATGGCCATGGTCTGCGCCCTCGTCTTTGAGCTGCTCGGTGCGTTGACGGTGGGCGCCCGCACCGCCGACACCATCAAGAACGGCATCATCCCCAACTCGGCCTTCCAGGGCAACGCCGGTGTCCAGATGCTCGCCTTTACCTGCGCCCTCGCCGGTGCCTCGTCCTGGGTCATGTGGTGCACGCGCCACTCTGCCCACGTCTCGTCCACCTACTCGCTCATTTCTGCCGTCGCCGGCGTGGGTGTCGCCACCGTCGGTGTTCGCTCCGTGCAGTGGGGCTGGAACAACGGCAAGGGCCTGGGTGCCATCTTTTCCGGCCTCGCCATGGCGCCCTTCTGCTCGGCCGCCTTTGGTGCGATCATCTTTCTGCTGATCAAGGGCGTCGTCCACGTCCGTCGCAACCCGGTCCTCTGGGCCGTCTGGACCTCGCCCTTCTTCTTTCTCATTGCCGGCACCGTCTGCTCGCTGTCCATCGTCTACAAGGGCTCGCCCAACCTCGGCCTCGACAAGAAGCCGGCGTGGTACATTGCCTCGGTCACCGTCGGCACTGGCGCTGGCCTCTGCCTGCTGTCTGCTCTCTTCTTTGTCCCCTGGCTGCACTGCAAGGTCATCAAAAAGGACCAGGAGCTCGCCGCCTGGGAGGTGATCAAGGGCCCCCTGCTCTGGCGCCGACCGTACTCTTCGGATGCCGAAGCGGCCAAGGTGCCCGACTACAGCGTCGTCCAGCACGGCGACGACTCCGAGGTGTCGAGCACAAGCGACGAAAAGATCAACTCGGTCGAGGAGATCACGCCCGTCCGCACACAAAAGGAGCTCCAAAGGGACGCCGACGAGCGCTTCCACGCCAAGCTGCGCCTCAAGAAGGGCCCCATGGGCTGGGCCATGCGCTACCTGCACAACAATCCCATGGGCCCCGGCATGATCTACGAGTGGCACAACATCAAGACCTTTGTCAAGCGCGTCCCCGCCATGGTCGTCGTCGCAGCGCTGTACGGCATGAACTACGACATCCACGCGGCCCAGATGGGCATCGAGGGAACACCCGAGGGCGCGCGCATGGAGCGCGTGTACGCGCACGCCAAGCGCTACCCCAACGAGACCGAGCACACCTACTCGTTTGTCCAGCTGATCACCGCCTGCACCGCGTCCTTTGCGCACGGTGCCAACGACATCGGCAACGCCGTCGCGCCCTGGGCCGTCATCTACTCGGCCTGGAGCACTGGCGACGCGGCGGCGTCCAAGCTTCCCGTCGCCACGTGGCAGATTGCTGTCCTCGCCCTGGTCCTGGTCATCGGCTTTGTCACCTACGGCTACAACATCATGCGGGTCATGGGCAACAAGCTCACCTACCACTCGCCCTCGCGTGGCACCTCGATGGAGCTGGGTGCTGCCATCACCATCCTCATCTTCTCCCAGTACAAGCTGCCGGTCTCGACGTCGATGTGCATCACGGGCGCCACCGTCGGCGTCGGCCTGATGAACGGCACGCACAAGGCCGTCAACTGGCAGCGAGTCGGCCTGCTCTTCCTCTCGTGGGTCGTTACCATTCCCATCGCTGGCACGCTTGCTGGTGTTCCCATGGCCATCATTCTCAACGGCCCTCGCTTCGGTCTCTGATGTAAATATCTTGTTCTCTTTCTCGGGGTCTCCAGGAATATCTGTTTTCGTTTACTTGACTGGACGTGGAGGATCTGATCACCTGACGACCTGGTGGCTTTGCGGACAAGCCTCCCTATCTCGGACATGCTTCACAATCCCGGGTCACCGTCTCTGCTGACGCTCGGCCGGAAGTGCTCGTCTTGACAGCTCCAGGCGCGCACGGTCGGCTGGCCAGAGAAGTTCCGTCTCCAGCCGGCCGGAACAATCGCGTGTTAGTGAAAGCGCGTCAAATGTTTCCCGGCCGAGAAGGATCGGGGGCTCCTGCGATTAGATTGCCCGCCAAGGAACGCAACCACGTCTGTGGGATGGTCCAGTAGGCCTCTAGTGCTGCTTCCTGGCATGCGTTCCAGCGTGGGTGCACATGCTCTGGCGACGGATCAGGGAATCTGACTGCGACGGGATGGACAACATGACTAGCGCCAGCCATTGCGCCCCCACCTCTGGGGGGTAAATCTCTCGTGCGGGTCTAGGGAGGACCTACCCCACATTCCGAGACCCAGGATGCGTGCTCGAACGACGAGTCTTTAAAGGCAGCAAAGGCATTCCAAGCTCGTATGGGGAACTTGCTCGCCGCCACAGAAGTCGAGAATGGTCAAGAATTACACCATTGTCCATCTGGATTGGGTCGGCCACGATGACAAGTCCGCATCGAAGCTCATCACAGCAACACTCGTGGCGGTCCTCGTCGCTTACGTGACTTACAACCTGTTTCTGCACCCGCTCGCCGGTATTCCCGGCCCCTTCATCTCGCGCTCGGGCCTGTGGAGCTACCGGGTCAACCGCGCAATCTTCCGCGACGCATGTTAGTGAGACTGCTCTCTATGAGAAAAGGGCCTCGCTGAAACAAAGTCGACTTAAAGCTCAAAGTTACGACAAGCTTCACGACGACTATGGCGCGTACGTACGCATTGGTCGTAACCATGTCATGACGGCCGATCCGGCTGCAGTCAATGTCCTCTATGGTCACTCGTCCAAGTGGACAAAATCTGGATTTTATCATCTCTTCCGCCTGGGACCGCCCAAGGGGATCATGAGCGAGACAGATGTGAAGAAGCACGCGGCGCTGCGGAGAGCATCGAGCAGTGCCTACTCGATAAGCGCGCTTCTTGAGCTGGAAGGTGAGCGGATCGCAGCTCGCACGCCGTCCTCTCTCAAGCTGACCGACCTTTTACAGTCTCTGTTGACATCATGGTCGAGAAGTTGTTCAGGCAACTGGACGGCTTTGTCGAGCGCAAGCAGCCCTGGAATGCTGGACTCTGGCTTCAGTGGTTCGCAATGGATGTGGTTGGCGATCTCGCCTTTGGAAAAAACTTTGGCCTCATCGAGAAGGCTACCGATACAAACAACCTGATCCCCGCCGTCGAGGACTTCGTCTTTGTTGCCACCCTGATGGGCACCTTTCCGACCATCGGCGACCCGCTCTTCACGGCCGCCAGCGCGGCAGGTGCAGGGGGCCGAGGTGCTGCCCATCTCATGCAGGTGACACAAGAGAGCGTGAAAGCGCGGCTCAAAAGGGCCGAGGAGATCGTAAAGGCTGGCGGGACCACCGACGAACTCCAGAAGGATATGCTGTGAGTCTGTTCGTCCGTTGTTCGTTTGCCATCCTTGACTCACACTCTGCCAAAGCTCTCGTTTCCTCCGCGCAAAGGATCCAGAGACGGGAAAGAAGCTGACGGTTGACCAAATCTGCACCAGCGCCACCCAAGTCGTCGGAGCCGGGAGCGACACGACGGCCATTACGATGCGAGCAATCATCTACTACACCCTCGTGACACCCGGTGTATACGAAAAGCTAATGGAAGAATTGGAAGCGGCAGTCAGTAACGGCAGCCTTACCTTCCCTACCCCGTACAACGAGGGCGTCAAACTCGAGTACTTCCAGGCCATCGTCAAAGAGGCGCTCCGCTACTATCCAGCAGTTCCCTGGCCGATGCCGAGGGTCGCGCCGGAAGGCGGGGCGCATATTGGCGATCACTACTTTCCCCCAGGCAGCCGTGTTGGCATGTCTGCGTACGCCTACCATCGCCGAGCGTACGGTCACGATTCGAAGCGCTTTCGGCCCGAGCGGTGGATCGAAGCGACAGACGAAGAGAAGAAAGAGATGGAGAAGAACCTGCTGAGCTTCGGAGGAGGCGCGAGGGTCTGCATCGGCAGGAACATCTCCATCATGGAGATGACGAAAGTCATCCCCTACCTCTTCTGGACCTACCACTTTTCCATCACACCCAGAGGCCCCGGCTCGCCGCACAAATACAAGCAGGGCAGGGGTTCCGATGGGGTGCTGGACTCCGAGTCATGGTACGTGAAGTCGTCTTGGTTCTCGAGCCAGTACGACTTCTTCCTCGATGTGAAGAAACGCGACGTCGAGGCAGTCCAGTAGTGATTTGTGGCATGATCTAGCTCGAAATAACGGATTGCTAAGACCTCAAAGTGTTTATAGCTCATTGAACATTGCCAAGAGACTGTACACGAGGTGTATGGAAGACGGCAAGTCAAAAAGAGGCGTGCTTCGCGGTATATGCATCTCTTGAAGTAAAGGGCAGGATGACTCAAGATGTATCTACGCCTTTCTTGTGACATGGACAACCTGCATTCCTCCAGCCCAGATGCTCTCGATGTCCAGCGTGTTGGAGATGTTTGCCAGAGGGTTGGATTTCAAGAGCACTAGATCGGCCTTCTTGCCCACCTCAATGGTACCCCGATCCATGAGGCGATGCCACCGCGCTGCCTCTCGGGTGGCCGCGTTGATGGCTTCCGCGGGCGACATGCCGACGATGTTGACCAGGTTCTGCATCTCGTAGTGCACCGTCAGGCCAAAGGGAACCTCGATCGTGGTCCCATTTTGGACAAGCGAGCCAACGGAGTCCGTGCCGGCGATCATGGGAATCCCTGCTTGGTACAGCCGCTGGGCATTAGTCTGTGCATGGGAGAGGCTGCGGTTGCTGTTGGGCTCGACGTGAAAGTACTGCTGGAGGACCGGGTCTGTGTATGCGTACTCGAACACGTTGAGTGTGGGCGTGACAAACTGGCCCTGGCGCTTGATCGTCTGGATGAGGGCATCGTCGAGGATGCCATCATCGGGGACATGCTGGATGCCGTCAGTCAGAGACTCGACGGCCTGCTCGTACGCTGTCACAGCCGAGGCATGCGTCATTGTCTGCTTCAAGTACTGGCAGTGGGCCGTCTTGACCATGTCGATCTGCTGCTGCACAGAAGGGCCATTGACTTCGGCCGTGATCTTGTGGAAGTCGCTGCCGTTGCCAAATTGCCATGCGACAAACTGCGACACGTTTGTATCGGGGTAGATCAGCGTGTCTTTGGGACGGGTCGGGTCGTTTGCCTCGTGCAGGCTCCCGTTGCCGACAGCGGAGCGGCCGGCGTAGACAAAGGAGGCGAGACCGGGCTGGTTGGCCATGATGGCGCACTGCGTGTAGTTCTTGCAGTTCATGTGCATCGCCGTGGTGCCGCCGTACGAGGTAAAGTTCTCGAGCGACTGCACATCAGTGAGGTGGATGTGGCTGTCAAAAAGGCCCGGAATGAGGTATTTGCCCGTGCCATTGACCGTCACGGTTCGGTTGGCGCACGCGCCAGTCTGGACAATGTAGCCGCCTTCCAGACAGACGGTCTGCTCGGGCTCAAAGTGCGAGCCATTGAAGATGCTGACATCCTCAATGGCCGTCTTGTTGCATCTTGCGATGGGAGCTGAGCGCCTGTGATTGACTAGGGGCGTGCTGCCCTCGTCGCGGACGTGTAATGGGCACGCTGTGGCGTGCCACAGAAGCGCACACGCGATCAGAGTTTGCACCAGCAGCGTATATCGCATCCTAGGGTGTCTTGAGAGGAGTGCGAGGCTTGTTGTAGGGGGAAAGAAGAGCCTTAGAGATCTAATGCTAGGATGGCGTTCGGTCTGTGCGGTCTAGATATAGGATAGCACTCGTCGAGGGGCGAGCTGGCTGTGCATCAGTGACCCGCCCATCTCCGCCAATGGCCGGCGGCAGCCCGATCCAGGTCACCGCCAGAGGACGGCACCGACGGCCGGCTCATGTCGCCGAACGACAATGTGCCGTGCCTCACGCTGACGGGAGGGCCCTTGCGGAGAATATCAGCTCAGACGTCTGCCAAGAAGTCGGTGCGTTGGCTGTGCAAAGAAGCTCAAAGCCACAGAAAAGAAAGCGCGCGTCCTGCCTCCACTCGCCCGGAGGGCAGCTGCCGATTAACGCCGTCCACATTAAGGCCCTGGTCAGATTAGACGCTGCCGCTTAGCGCCGTCAACATAATCACGGCGAGCTGTGGCAAAGGATCCAATAGAACAGAGTGCCGATCCAATTGCACAGGGGAACAAAAGAAGCTAAAGTAGAGAGCATACGGGCTAAGGGATGCACCTCTTGGACGGCTGCGCGACGACGGTCGTCACCGTGCCCGTGACAGTGACGACGGTCGTGTAGGCAGAGGGCACAAAAGCGCCGCCGCCACAGGCACCGATGACCCACTCTTTCGTGTGCACGGTCGTGGCCGTCGGGTAGACTGTGGTGATCACCTCGGTCGTGGAGGGAGGGGGCGTGGACTTGCTGGACGACGACGTGGACGAGGAAGCGCTGGTGAGCGAGCTGCTAGTCTTGGTCGGCATCGTAGACGTGGTGCTGTTTGTGGACGTGTGGCTGAGCGACGTCTGGCTGCTGGTCAGGCTCGAAGAGGAGGAGGACATGGATGTCTGGCTCGATGTCTTGCTAAATGAGGAAAGGCTGGACGAGCTGGACGAGCTAGATGACGTCGTCGTCGGCTGGCTCGCTGTTTGGCTTGAAGTCTTGCTTGATGAAGATTGGCTGGACGAGCTGGAGGAGGTCGTCGTCGGCTGGCTGGATGTCTGGCTCGACGTCTTGCTGGAAGTGGTGTGGCTTGACGTCGTCGTCGACTGGCTTGAGGTCTGGCTCGAGGTTTTGCTCGATGTCGACTGGCTGGAGGATGTCGTCGTGACGTGGCTCGACGTCTGGCTCGACGTCTTGCTTGATGATGACGTCGTCGTGGAGTGGCTGGATATCTGGCTGCTCGTCTTGCTCGAAGTTGTCGATGTCGACGAGGCCTTGGAGGAAGTCTGCGACGATTGGGTGCTCGACGTGCCTGAGCTGGACCTCGACGAAGTCTGGCTTGCTTTGCTGGACGACGAGGTGCTCGTGCCCGTCTTCGACGAGTCGGTGCTGCTCTTGGTCGAGCTGGGCTGGCCACCGGAATTTGAAGCACGGCTGCTAGTCTGGCCACCACTGCTCGTCGTGTGTCCGCCGCCGCCGCCGCCTCCTGCACTTGTCTTTGATGACGAGCCGCTGGACTTTGTCGCCGAGAGCACTCCGCTGCTCGAGTCGCCGCTCTTGAGCGGGGGGATGAATGTGCCTGCTCCAATCTGGGAGCCAACGGCTGCGACGCCGCCAGCGGCAGCACACACTTCCGGCTGCAAGGCACAGAATGATGCTGCCTCGGTGGCAGCCTGCGCGGGTGGGACGGGCACCGGCGCCGGGATCGGAGTGCCCCCGCCGATGATGCCGCCGCCACCGCCACCACCACCACCACCACCTCCTCCTCCTCCTCCTCCTCCTCCTCCTCCTCCTCCTCCTCCTCCGCCGCCGCCTCCTCCGCCACCTCCGCCACCTCCGCCACCGCCACTACCCCCGCCCTCTGTCGGGCAGCCAGCCTGTCTCTTGCCCAGGAAGCTGTCTAGAAGCCGGCCCAGGAATCCCCGCCTCGTCGGCGGGCTGCACTTGTTGATCACCTGGTCCACCGCGGCCGTCTGCACATCCTCGCCCGTCGTCGTCACCGTGTTCTTCCACGTGTCGATCTGTGCCTGGGTAAAGACGGCAGGGTCCATGGCCAGGAATCCCTGCTGGAGCACGTTGAGGATCTGGGGCATGTCGCCATTCACCTGGCGCATGTAGTCGCCGAGGGCACGGTAGGCATCGACGGGGTAGGCAGTCGAGTCGCCAGTGCCCTGCTTGGCGACAAAGGCCTTTTTCGCCTGGTTCACCTCCTTGGGCACGTTGACGAGGTTCTCGGGCGAGTTGACGCTCTGCCGGAACTGCGTCACCTGCGGCTTGTGCGTGCGGCACCAGTTGTCGAGCGTCTGTCCGGACGCGGCGACGGCGGATCGGACGAGGGAAAAGATCTGATCCAGCTCGACCTTGTGGTCGCACTCCATCGCCGACGTCTTTGTCGCAGAGGGGTCTGTTGGGGAGGTATGAGCTGCCGATGCTTAGATATGTGATGTGATACTGCACCACCACTCACTGCTGGGATTGTAGGGAATCAGTGTGTCTCCCGCAGCGCTGTACCGAAGCTCGTTGCCGGCACATCGGGCCGTGTTCTGCGTGGCAGAGTAGGGAGCACCGCTGCGAAAGCTGACGCCGCACAAGAAACCTGCCTCGGCGGCGCGTGCTAGAAGCTCATGGAGCTCTGACTCATGATACGGAAGCGACGTCACAGACGTGGCTAAGAATAAAAGAGCAAAGAGGGGAAAGAGGAGAAGCATGACGAGGAAGCCGCACAGCAGCGTCTCAAGAGAAGAACGATCAGTGGGGAACTCGAGGACATGGTTCTTCAACTCTCCTTTTATCGCTGTACGTCTGGCTCCATCACACGCTCAGCATTCATGCAAAGCCGCTCACAGGAGCGCCGAGGCACAAGGCAGGCTCGTCTATTCAAAAGGGGAAAGGGGGCTGGTACAGCACAACGTCGAAATTCCAGGACGATGGTTCCTGAAATAAGTCGCACCCGGCGTTCCTGACGCGTCGACCGCGTGCCTGACGTTTTTTGACGCCGACCTACAGCTCGGAGAGCCCTCGAAACAAGCACAGCGAGGAAAGAGACGATAATCAGCCATTCGGCATCACCAAATCTCTCAACAGAGTACAGTAGGAACCATGTACGAGCCACATTTGGCCAGGAAACTTGCCTCTGCAGAAAGAACGTACTCTTACGGCGTCGCACGCCATGGCCTCCGAGCTGGAATGAGGACAGGGCCGTTGCCGTCATGCAGTGGCGTCTTGTGAGCTTGCCTCGTTCCTGCACCGCTCTTCGAGCAAATCTGCCCTGCCCCTGCTTTACTGGGCCAGCACCAGCGAGCGCAGATCTGCCGCCTCGCCCAGGAACGGCAACGGCGGCTTTTGACGCCCACATGCATGAAAATTCTCGGAGGCTTCCCGTCTGTAACGACCCTTAGCGTGATGCACTTTGTATTTCCGGCGCGTTTCAGGGCTCTATCCAACTTCCCACCTTCCTTCTTCTCTCCACTCAACGACTATGGCCAACTTTGCGGAATTACCCAGCGAGATACTCGAGTAAGTGAAGAGGATGGCTGTCTACATGCTTCCAGAGCTAATACTCTGCCAGCTCCATCGTCTTTGGAGGCCTCGACGAGTGGGCAGAGGAGATGGAACTGACGCGGGTGCCGCCGCTCCACTACGCCCGCAAGCTCGATGACGAGCTGCGGTGGATCGCCAATCTCACGCAGGTCAACCGGCGGCTGCGACGGCATTTTCTGGCCCGACTCTGGCACAGGGTAGACCTGTTCCACGTCAAGGATCTGTACCTCGTCGACAAGTTCCTCGCCACGCGGCAGGCCAGCGTGTATGGCCCACTCATCCAGCACCTCGTCTTCTCCTGGGGCGACGTCGACCGTGCTGACGGACTGTGCGGGGAGGTGTACATGGACGAGCACAACCAGGACCATGGTCTGTTTGGGAGGAAACAGGACTGGCTCTTCCAGGACAGACGGGCGCTCATCATGAGGACCGAGGTGGCCGAGGAGAGGGTCAACCACCCCGACATGACCGACGACGAGCTCTTTGACTATCTGTGGCCATCGGAGGAGGAGGAGGACAGCGAGTGGCGCATCACAAAAGGTGGGTCCTCGTGCTCCACACTCGCTGAGACATGTCACTGACACCCCTGGCAGGCCCCGACGGGTGGGGCGATGTGCCGGGCTTCTCGAGCCCGAAAGACGTTGCAGCTGGGTTGGTGCGCGTTTCGTCGTGCGCAGGCAACGTCCGTATGCTCGACTACAACGAGCGCTACATCCCCGTGCCCCCGTCATTCCTGTCGAACCTGGACAAGCTGGACAAGATCACATTGTATTCCGATAACAACCACCAGGGTAAGAGCTGCGAGTCCAGATCGAGGAGCAGCCAAAGCTAATGACCTGCTCCTGCCCCGATCAGACGGCCGAGACAGCGCGCTGGACGAGCTGCCAAAGAGCGTGCAGCACATGGACATCATGTACATCTTTCGTGCAGGCCCACCAGAGCGCTCAGGGAAGAGACGACGAGCAGCGCCGTTCCTGTCTTTGCAAAGGCAAGGACTGGGCCTCGCATACAAAGATGTCAAGGACGACGATGTAGACGAGCCAGAGCGGAGACTGAGGCTGACGTGTGCGGCCATCATCAAGGGGCTGACGCAGGGCTCACTGCGATCAGTGAAGCTGTGGGACCACGAGCTGCTGCGTGTGGCAGAGATGCTGCCGTGCTGGTTGGCGGTGGACTTGCAGACGGATGAAGCGGGCGATGCTGCGCCAGGATGGGCATTCGAGGTGCGCAACGTTCTGAGCCTGAGTGGACAGAAGACAAATGCCGTCCTTGACGCCGTCGTCGAGCTCAAGCGCGTCCTGGCCGGCTGCGAGTCAGGCAAAGAGGTGCAGAAACGGTCACGAGAGAAGGCCGAGGCTGCTGCAAGCAACGATGGAATTCTGGATGCAGCGACACTTGCCAGCTGGCTAGCCGACGACGAAGCACTCAGCCATGCAGTCTATCAAGGCATGCAGTGGGCAATTACGCGGCAGTGAAAATTGCCTGCCTCTGGACATACTTTGCAATTTGATACAAGTTTAGAACGAGTGTTACTCAGGAGGGGATCAGGCCGTCGCAGTGTTATTCTGGATGAGATCGGCCGCCTTTTCAGCAAGCGCGTAGAGCACTACCTGGTAGTGGGCACAGAGGGGCAGTGGCAGCACACTGGCGTCGACAACACGCAAGCCCTCGACGCCCTTCACCCTGCACTGCGGGTCGACAGCCTTGCCCATGGCCACGCTGCCGGCCGGGTGGAAGATTGTGCCGCCGATGGCCTCGATGCGCTCGTCGATGTCCGCATCGGTGCTCTGGGCAGTCAGCGGCGCCATTCCCTTGGGCGGACGCTCACATTCGATGGCGCTTCGACCACCCCTGGTCGTCGTCATGGCCCGCGTGGCATCGCGCAGGCCCTGGCGCATCGTGACCCGGTCCGCCGCGGTCGTATAGTAGGCCGGATCGATCAGAGGCATCGAGGTGGCTTCTGCATCGCGCAGGGTGATGGTGCCTCTCGACGTGGGCGTCATGAGAAAGACGACGGTCGCCATGTGCGTCCCGTCCAGGGGTACCTGCTGCCCACTGACTGCGGCCATGGCGGGTGCGTAGACGATGAGCGTCTCCGTGTGCGCTGCCCCGTCGCGCAAGAGCGCATCGTCCTCTGGAAGGACATGCTTGAGCTGCTCGCGGTGCGACTGCACGACAATGTGGTTGCAGGCAAGGCCCATAGTGTATGCGGGCGACGTCCATAGGGGAGTCCCCATAGCCTTGCCCGCGTCTGCGTCCTTGATCTGCCACCTGCACGACCAGCTGTCAACAACAAGCTTCCCCTCCCCGGCTCCCAACGAAGCAGACTCACCACTGAGCGACGGCGAAATGGTCGTGAAAGTGTCGGCCGACGTCCTCGTTGTCGGCCACCAAGGGTATCTGATGCCTCTCGAGCTCTGCCTTGGGACCCACGCCCGAGAGCATGAGGATTTGGGGTGTCTTGTAGGCTCCTGCTGCGACAATGACCTCCTTCTCTGCGCGAAACGTCCTCCCGTCGACGAGCTCAAGACCTGTTGCCCTCCTGCCGGCGAAAAGGACCCGCTTGACAGTCGCATCGGTCACGACGACAACATTTTTTAAACTGTACGCTTCGCTGGCGAGCTGCCGCTTGCCCTGGTAGAAATTCTCGACGTAGTCGCCCAAGCCAATGGGATAGCCTGCGTTGCCGTCTGCGATCTTCTTCAGGCCGATCTCCCTCCATGCGTCGAGCATAGGCTCCGAGAGAGGGTACACGCGGTCGGAGCTCGACGTTTGTACGCTTATGTTGTGGATACGGCCCGAGGAGCCATGGGCACCATCCATTGCGCCATGATAGTGCTCCACCCGCTTAAAATACGGGAGCATCGATGCATAGCTCCACGCCTGGTCACCCACGAGCTCGGCCCACAAGTCATAGTCAAATGCAGGCCCCCTCGTCCAGCTGCCGTAGTTGATCGCCGTGCCTCCCGAGAGCGCCTTGCCCGCAGCCTGGTAGCACTCTCGCCCCCGCAGCCCCGCCTGGGGCGTCGTCTTGTGGTTCCAGTCGAGCTCGGAGCCATGGGCGCCCATGCACGCCAGCGGCGTCTGTGTCAGCGGGTGGTCCTTGACGTCCTTGCCCGCCTCGATGAGGAGCACCGTGCTCGTCTCGGAGAGCCTCGAAGCCAGCGTGCAGCCGCAGAGGCCACCGCCGGCGATGATGTAGTCAAAGGCCATCCTGTGTCACTCGGAGTCACTCTCTCTCGGCGTCGCTGATGGTAGCTTGTCAAACAACAGGGAAAGTGAGCACGGTGACGCAGAACCTTGCTTTGCATGAAAGGTGCACTTTAGCTTCGTTACCTGAAGGCGCAGTGCATGACTGATTAGAACTCATTCTCTCGTTTTATTACTTTTTTGACCCTACGCTTGAGGATGGGCTAAATTGTCCAGTGAACTAAGTGTATTATTGGTCGTCGGAGAGCCACGGTCACACATTCATCCACCTTCCCATCCACTTTTTGGTGATGTGCTGAGCCTCGTCGACGAGGCCCAGCTCGAGGAGCAGCTGCGTCGTGCCCCGCACGGCCGACTCGAGCGCCGACGAGATCCAGGCGTGGGTGAAGCTCGTGTGCTCGCCCACAAAGATGGTGCGGTTGTGCGTCTTGTAGTACTCGGGGATGTACAGCTTGTGCTGCCCGGCAATCGGGCTCGCCCAGGCCGCGCCCTGGTACTCGTCGAGGCCCCAGCAGCGCCGCCTCGCCGTCTCGTACTGGTCGTACACCACCTCGCCGTGCATTTCCGCCATGGAGTCGAGGACAAATTGGACTGCAGAGTAGTCAGCTTGAGCTTCCGTGAGATGAAGACGGGTCTGAGGTCCGACACTCACTGTGGTACTCCTCCGGCCACGAGACGAGGCGGTCGCCGTCGTCGCCCGACACGTACTCGGCCAGGACGACGGCGGGCCCGTCGCTTCCGATGCCGTAGGAAGGGTAGCACACGTTGCGGATGCCCGGCAGGTCGGTGTTGGAGCAGCCGCCCTGGATCGGCGGGTCAAAGGGCGCCTTTTCCCAGAAGCGCGACTTGAACTGCATGGCCACCTTGCACGAGTTGCTGTACTTGAGGTTATTGATGGCCCGCTGCATGCGCTCCGACACGTTGGGCGTCCGCCAGTACTTGACGACGGAAAAGGGCGCCGACACGACGGCTGGGAGAGAGTGTCGAGGTCAGTACTGCAGACGGTCGATTGGCATCGGCTCGACTGTTCAACTCACCATAGTCGAATGTCTCGCTCAGGGCGTCGCGCGTCGACGCCGTGTTGTTGGGCTTCCAGTGGAGCTGCACTCGGCCCGTCGCCTCGTCGTTGTCCACACGGAAGATCTTGCGGCCCATGACCGTCTTGTTGGCGGCAGGCGTGCCCCAAAAGGCCATGGGCAGCTGCGTGAGGCCGCGGTCGATGGTCTTCCACGACGTTGTGGTCGATGCAAACCACGTGTCCTCATAGTACGTGTCCCAGAAGCTCGTCGCGGCGCCCAGGGAGCCTTGCGTGATCTTGTCGGTCGTGTCGAGGTCGTAGCCGAGGCGGTCGTGGAGGTAGCCAAACTCGCTAAAGTCGTCCAAGCCGGCCTTGATCCAGTCGTGGTGGGCCTGGAAGATGTTGGTGACGACCTTTGCTCGCAGGCTGTCGGTCGCCGTCAGATTGCCGATGTCCGCCTCGGCCTGTTGGAGCTGCGGCGACTCGCCGCCGGCCAGTGCCGATGCCAATGTCGTGTTTGCCTTGAGCTGCGCATTGTTGGGCGGCAGGCCACTGGGCAGCTTGAAGCCGCCATTGTACTGCAGGTTGCCGGGGCCCGACTGGGTCCAGTCGATGAATTCGACCGTCCGGTTGTCGTTTCCCCTGTTGATCGCATTGAGCTCCTCGGCGAGCTGGAAGACAATGTACGAGTCGCGGATGGCCAGCGTCTTGTTCGTCGACGGGTCCGTCATCGTCTTGGGGAACCGCATGGGGCCCATCTCCTGGTACACGTGCTTGTTCTTGTCCGGGTCAAAGTACTCGGTGTGCACGCGACCGCCAAAGCGCTGTGCGGCCTCGATGATGGTGTAGTTGGTCATGCCGACGGACTCGAGGAGGTGCGACGTCATGAGGCCGGACATGCCCGCGCCGACGATGGCGATGCGTGCGTCCTTTGCGCCCGAGACAAAGGCCGAGGAGCGGTGCTTTGCCCGTGCGTGCTCGACGCCCTCGAACCAGCTAATTCCCTCAATGTCTGTCAGTCAGCCTTGCCGAAGTTATCCAGGAATATCTACAGTATCTACGCACAGACCAGTCGTGTCAAAATCGCTCATCTTGGGCTCGTTGTCGGAGCGCTTGGCTAGGTCGCGCGCCCTCCGCTTGACCTGCTGCTCGTTCTGCACGATCGTTAGCAGGCCCGACCTGGCCGCCAGCTCGTCGCCGATCCACGCCGAGAGACAGCCCTGCTCGCGGCTGTCCTCCTCCACGAACCAGACGGCTCTCGTGGGAGGCGCTTCACCACGCCGCATGGGGCCTTGGGAAGAAGCGACGAGCACGTGATCCCCGTCCGCCTCGAGCGAGTCGCAGGGCCCATAGGTCACCCTGAGCGTCTGGTCCTCGAGCGTCCAGGGCGTGTCGGCCCACTGGAGGTGGACGTTGGCCATGCCTTGCTCGACGATGGACGAGGCAGTGCCCAGGTGCACGAGAGGAGAGAGCCATGATGGTGCAAGAGGAGACGGCACCGCGAGCGACACGCCGGCCAACAGCGGCACAAGGCAGACGAGGCGAAGGGACATCATGGGTCGTTTGCAGCTTCCCTGTGATCGCATCGGTCTCTTTTCATCGCCTTTATAGCGACGACTATTACTCTCCCTTATCTCTGGGGACCCTCCCCCCACGCCGAGTCACATCAACGAGTCAGCATTCATGCTTGCTCGAGGTAGCTTGGACTTGCTTCCGGAGCAGCTCGGAGCATTCGCCGCTTGTTGCTCGCCAAGCATTCGAGGGAAGAGACTTTCTCCGTGCGTTGCTTATCAGCATCGGTCAATCTCGTCGCGCGTCAAAAGGCACAATCTTTTGCTACTGCCTTTCTTGCTTGCTCGAATGGAGCCGGCGGGCACCCGACCCATAATTATCTTAGCGCTTAAAATGAGAAGTTTTTTGGAGGCAAACCGCACTAGCGATGGGTCACACACGCACGGCCCAATCAGGGCTCCCTTGCGACTATATATCTTTTGCGGCTATTCGGGTCGCCGCTTCGTGGGCCGAGCTTCAGATGCCCTCGGTATTCGCCACGCTTGCGTTGACGCTGGAAAGGCCAGTCTCATCTCAACACAATGCCCAACGCAAGCCAAATCAGTCATTGGTACTAAAGAGCAGCAAGTCTGTATTGGTAAGAGATGAAATCACTGCCAGCTCGTCAAGACGGTGTCTCCCTCGCGCAGCTTCGCCAAGGTCCTGCTATCGCTCCACAGCCTCGCCTGCTTGGCGTCCTCCTTGCTCTCGTTTGAGCTCTCTGCTCTGACGCTGCCGTTGAGATAGACCGGTGTCGGGCCTGGCTTCTGGTACTCGTCATCGAACGACGCAAGGAGGAGGTCGTTGGCCGACTTCCAAGGAGGCCTGATATCGCCGTTGGGGGCAAAGTAGACCAAAGCCTCTTGAATGGCCCACATAAACCAGCCGGTGAGGAAGCGAATAAAGGGCGTCGATCGTTGCGTTACCCTGGTCCCTCCCATTGCGCCTGGATCGAGGCAGACGACGGAGATACTGGAGAGAAAGGCATCCTTCTGCAGCCGTTTCTGCACCTCGTACCTTCCGTAGACGGACTGTTGAGCATTCGCAATGGAGAAGACAGTGGCATGCACCCGCCTACTTACGCAAAGAGGACCAGAAGAAGCTTGCTCGTCCCGTAACGTCGCATCCCTGCGCTCCAGCCGTCATCCTCGTCGTAGGAAGCGCCCTCGGCCAGCTCTTTTGTGTTGAAGCTGTAGAGCACACGCTGGCTCTTTGCGGAAGACTGGCAAGCCGTCGTTGCGCTTGTCAAAGCCATCGTGGGTCCAGCTGGACACGACAACGATCCGGCCCGCGTCCCTGTCCATGCTCTGCAGCAGCATGAGGGTGAGCAGGTAGTTGGACAGGTAGTTGATCCCGAATGCCGACTCGAACCCGTCCTGGGTCCTCGAGCGGGGAACCAGCGTGTCGTTGTTCGCTTCTTGGAAGACCGCATTCAGGACCAGCGTGCGGATCGGCTCCCATGTGCCATCAGCCACCTTGCGATTGATCTCGTGGGCCACTTCGCGGACCTTTTCGAGACTGCCTAGGTCCAGCTCGACCACCTCATGCACGCTGCTGGACGGCGCTCTGCTGAGTATCCGCTGCAGATCGGCCGCCTTGGAAGCGTCGCGGACGGTGTAGATGCCTCGACACTCGCTCGCGTACGGCGACTTTTGAAACTGCTCCACAAAGGCGGAGCCAAGGCCACCATTGGCCCCCGTGATGAGGACGGTGCCCTTGGTCATCTGATGGACAGCTGTGGAGGGCTACTCAGCGTCTACGGTACTGCGTCGCACACCAGGCAAGGTGGGGCGGGAAACAGGGCTAATATTGGGATTATAGCTTAAAAAGGGGTGGTGCTACTTCAGGCTGAATAGGAGCGGAGATAAGCGGACGCAACACCCGCACGTGTCCCCGACCGCATGGTCCTGCTCCCGTCTATCTCGGTCGAAAGCCTAGTGATGGAAGGTGGGAGGGTCGCGAGTCCTGATAGACTGCCATGCCTGGTCGATGACGCCGACGACGTGTGCGGGCAGCTTTCCCTCGTGGACGGCATCGTAGCTGCGCTGGATACTCTGGGGCGAGCCAGCGCCAATGACGATGCGGTCCCCGTGTGCCTCTGCAAGTGCGCTGTGGTGTGCCAGCCAGCGCAGGGCGAGGGTGGGCAGGGAAATGCCAAGCTTGTCCGCCTCGGCCTGTAGGGCGTCGATGGCATCAAAAGACGAGTCGCTGTAGTAGCGCTTCATGTAGTTGTCACCCAGCATGTTGTCCTCCTTGGTTGTGTCCCAGCGTCCCATGGTCGGCCTCTGGCCTCTCGAGTGCTGTCCGGAGAGGAAGCCGCCGGCCACGGGCGAGAAGCCGTAGAAGCGTCCGCCGTTCTCGTGCATGAGGGGAACGAGCTCCTCCTCGGCACCGCGGTTCAGCAGGTTGTACTCTCCCTGGTAGACGGTCGGCTTGATTAGGTTGTTCTCGCGCGCAATCTGGAACGTCTCCCTGACGAGAGCAGGCGAGAAGTTGGAGATTCCAAGCTGCACTCGCCGGTCAGCGTTCCTGCCTGCTCAAGTCCCTGGGTTACTACCCACCTCCTTGAGCTTTCCTTCCTTGAAGAGCTCGTCGACGGCGCGGATCGAGTCAATGAGAGGGGTCGAGGGGTCGACTGTGTGAAAATACAGGACATTGATGTGGTCTACCTTGAGATCCTTAAGCGTCTCCTCGAGGCACTCGCGGATGTGTTCTGGACGGTTGCCCTTGCCAGGCACAAAGGAGTTGACTTTGGAGTCGACGGTAAAGCCGTACGCTGACTTGGCTGCGGCGTCTACCTGGCCAAGCATCTTTTGCGCCTTGCCAGCCTGCTTGAAGATCGCAGGGTAAATGCTGGCTGAATCGATGAGGTTGCCGCCGTTTCGGGCATAGGCATCCAGGAGCGCCCGTGTGTCAGCGAGTCCAGTGACACGCACGAGCTGGTGCGCGTCGGTGGAAAGGAGGCCAGTGCCCAGAGCAAAGTCGACTGTCATGTTGCTGCTGATTCGGTGGTTAGAGAGGGAGATGTTGAGGTGTGCAACTCAGAGATTTCTCTCTTTATATAACCTTGCCGCCATCACGAAAGCCGTTTCAGTCGTTGTGCCTTCCATGCTCCAAGCACTAGAAGAAAATCCGAGAGGAGCACGGAAAACCCGTGATCCACCTTCGGACGTAAGAATTTAGACCAAGACGCACCGAGACTAGCACGACGCGGTAGACCAAGGATACGGTCGAGTGACATTCAGCACAAAGAAGTACGTCTTAAGGGGACTGCCTTGGAAATGAGCCTTCCCTACGACCGTAAGAAGGCTATGTTGTGATCGCCAGACTCGGAGTCGCCGCCCTGGCTTCACCGCCCTTCTGCAGGATGAGAGCTGCCAGGAGCGCAGGTCAAGCTCATGCGGCAAGGAGGCTTGCTGAGCAAGTAGTAAGCCCCAAGACACAGTTCGAAGACATCGCTGCGAAGCAGACTCAGACGAAAGATTCATCGACGAGGCTTGCGATGCAGGCGCGGTCTCAAACGTGGTGCAAATGCTTCCAATCGATGTAAGCATCGAGAGAGCACGGGCAAGCAATTCTCGGGACATCTCTCAGGTGTCAAAGTACTTGCCATGTATGGCCTGCCCACTGCCGCACCAGCCACTGCTTTCGAAAGAGTAAATTCAGCTAGGCAAGCTGAAATGGCCACCAAGACACGTAAGGCCGGGTTCCCCTTGCTCGCCAGCCCGAATCGGAATCGGAATCGGAACTGGTGATCGGACTTTTTCTCGTGTTCTATTTGGGAGTAGCAACTCGCTCCTCACTCCACAAGGACAATGGCAGAAGCTGCTGGCCGGTTCGCGCTGCCCAAGGACTACCGCTCGGCGGGGGCGACGAGGAACAAGTGAGCTGGCTGATGGAGCGAGCTGCCATCTACCTCTTCCTCGAGCTGACGACGCAACCCCACCAGTGGGCCCGACGACCTGGCGCTTCAGCGCTGGAAGATTGTCGAGCTTGCGCAGGGCTGGCCACTGTACAGGTAGGTTGTCCAAGGGCAGCGCTGGTTTGCACGGCACTGAGGGACATCGAGGACAGAGATGCGCGCGAGTGGGACAACTTTCGCTCCATCTTCCATCCCGAGGGCGCCTTCGTCTACACGACGTGGACTGGCCGCACGCACATCGACGACTTCATTCGCGCGAGCCAGGCGGGCATGGAGAAGGGCGCGTTCATCATGCACCGCATCCACGGCACCACCGTCGACATTGAGGGCGACCGCGCCGTGTGCAAGATGAAGGCCACCATCACCCAGCGATTCGACCTTGGGGGCGTGCAGGCCGACGCCGAGTCCGACTGCCGCTTCTGCTTCTTCTTTGAGCGCTACCAGGACCCGGCCGGGCTGCCGGCCTGGGGCGCCAAGCTGGTGCGGCACTGGTACGAAAAGGACAAGCTCGTCGCCGTCGATCCCAGAAAGGTGTGTGATGCGGTCCCTGCTTGACAGATCTCCGCGCACGCGCTCACAATCTGCATCAAATAGATTCCCGAGATCGATGACGAGCTTCTCGCCTCGTTTCCACCGGGCTACCGCTACCTCGGCTACTGCCAGGAAAAGACCCTGGGTGGGTCCATCAAGGTCAGGCGCGATCTTCCGGGCTTCGTCGGTGAGGCGCACGACCGGCTGCTGCTCAACGCCAAGCGATGGCTGCAGCACGAGGCGCTCGAGGGAGAGTGATCGTCGGGCAAATTACATTCATCTCTATTTCGATGCTGCACTTTGTACAGTACAGTACAGTACAGTACAGTGGGCTTGTTGCTTCTTGAGACATGCACGGCTCTCTCTATGCTACAGCTTTGGCGCGCGGGGCTTCGCCGCTCTGAGGACTGTCGCCTCGGTCAGGGTGGCAGCAAGCCTGCCAGTCCCCTCCTCCCACAGCTTGGCTTCGACATATGTGCGCTCGGATGCAGCGACCTCTGCGCCCAGCTCCTTGAGGTACCACTTGGCCGCCTCGAGGGGCGGCCCGTGGATGCGGTAGGCAAAGTCGAGGCTCGACGCAGCCGAGGCAGCCTGAAGCGGCTGCTTCGAGTGGCCCAGGGCCGTGAATCCGGTGGCGCCATCGAGGAGGAAGCAGTAGAGCATCGCCGTGGCGGTGGCCTGCGTCGGCGCGTACAGGACGTCGCCACGCACGCCCGTCGTCATGGTGGGGGGAGCCGTGTACCAGAGGTAGGAGCGCCGGTCGCTGAGCTTGAGGCCGTCCTGCGTCGTCGCTGCCTTGGAGTCGAGGGAGTTCAGCGTCTGGGCAAACATGCCCTCGGGCGCGGCACGGCTGGCCGGCACGAGCTGGAGAATGGGCGAGAACGTGCTGAAAAAGGCTTTTGCAAGACCGGCCGAGAGGCGGCCCTCTTCGACGCGGCGTGTGATGCCCTCGCGCTCGGGCAGGAGAGCCGAGGGATGCGTGACGCGGGGCGCCTCGGAGCTGAAATCGGGCACCACCTTGGCCGCTTCTGGCGAAGAGTCAATGATGTAATCGACAGTGGCCGAGAGGCACGCGCGGCCGTCCTGGCTGGCAACGACGAACCTCGTCGAGAAGGTCCTCGTCTCCCGGAGGTTCTGCACGTGCAGCTCTACCGGCTTGTCCGTCATCGTGGGCCCAAGGAAGCTGCCCAGGACACTGTAGATGTTCTTGGCCCGGTCGTCGACCGTCTGGGCAGCAGCATTGATGGCGAGGACCATTGCGCAGCCGCCATAGGCCATCGCCTTTGACGAGTTGGCCATCCAGAAGGGCTTGTTGACCGACACGAAGCGGTCGTCGCCCGTGCGCCGCAGTGCGCTGATGCTGTCGAGGCTGATTTCTGCCATGGCCTAGTGAGACGGCGATAGTGGCAGGGAGAAGACGAGGTGTGTGCGAACCGGCCCACGGCTCAAGCCATCCCGTGCGCGCAAGGTACCGTTCGGAAATTCCGAGTGCGCATGAAATGTTGAATGTTGAATCGCGGTGTGTTGCTTGTCACGTGTGTCCGCGGTGCCGTCCAACATCCGAAGACGACTGTCGGCATCTCCGAGACCGGGAAGCCTTTCAATTGACTTGTGCACATCGAACGGGACAGACCACTTTATTAACGACCTTGAACTCTATGAGAGCCTAGTCTAGTGTGGACCTCTATGAACGCCTAGTATAGCAACACGGTACTCTATGAAAGCCTAGTATAGCAACGCGGACCTCTATGAGAGCCTAGTCTAGCAACGTAATCACTCTATGAGAGCCTAATGTAAGTTTATGTGCGCAGGCAATCAGGGTGGGCCCGTGTACCGAAAGCACCCGCTGCTGTCGAAGCTGCATTCTGCGACGGGCCGCCTCGCATTGTTGGGATCGCTCAGCCATCGTGCAGCGCCCAGCAGCTCGCACGTGCACTCGCGCATCTCGTCTTCGCTCAGCTGGCAGGTGTCCCACGAGGCCTCGACGACGAGGAGCTGCGACTCCTGCTGTGTCTCCCGCTCTTGCTCCTGCTCTCGGACGAGTCTAAAGACCCACGAGATGCCAAAGTCGGATCTGCCCTCGAATTTCGTCAGCGTGATTCGTGCATGGCCGCGCTGCGCCGGCGGGGCCCAGTTGAAGACCTGGCGGGGCGCGCACTGGCGCAGAAAAGCGACGTCGTTGTCGCTGAGGCGCGCCATGACTGCGGCCTCGCTGCAGTGCGCATGGGCGCTCTGCTGTGCCTGCAGCCGCTGGACCCGCTGCAGAAAGTCGAGGGTCGTCTCGTCCGCCTCGATGCCCATCCGCGTCCAGGACAGCTCCACGACGGGGCCCCTGACCGCGAGCAGGTCGAGGCCGGCTGGTGCGACGCCCTTGACCATGCGTCCCCCCTCGGCCTGGTGGGTGGGTCGGTAGTTGGGTCAGCAGGGTCCTGCAAGAATGGCAGAGCGGCGGCGGGAGACCACTCACACCGACGAAAACGGCCTGCCTGGCGCCCGACCTGCGCATGTTGACGAGGATCTGGGCCGCCTTGGCGACCTTGGAAGCCGAGACGCCGTGCTGTGCGCGGAGCTGGGCGAGGTTTGGCATGGCCAGGGCAAAAAAGTCACCTGAACGGCCAATGGATTTGGTCGCATCATCGCAGAGTGGAACACGGCGCGCACCAGCGTCCGCATAGACCTCCCAGCCAGCGTCGTTGCCGCGCATCCAGCCGTGAGCCCGCTGGGGCGGCCACATGCCGCCGCCGCCGTCTGCGATGCCCGCGAGCCGGTCTGCGTTGCTGTCGACGTGGGCCTGGTGCTGCTCGGTCGAGGGGTAGAGGAAGCGCCAGACAGCGTAGGGGCCGTACGACGCAGGAGGGGGCAGCACGGCATGGCGCGCAACGTGGCCGCTGCAGAGGTGCTCGTCGATGTCGGCAATGAACATGCCGAGCGACATCATGTCAAAGATGCAGTGGTGCATCGTGTAGACGAGCCCGCACCGGGTGGGATCGTCGGAGCTGTGGACGATGGTAAAATAAGACATTGGACCAGGCGGCTGGACGCGCGCGCCGTCCTCCTCGTCGCTGCTCTTGATGGCGCTCATGTCTGGCCACGGCTGCTGCGCGTGTGCGGGCGACGGCAGCGGCACCTCGTCGTCGATGAGCAGATGCTCCATCCTTTCGTCGAGCTTCATGACAGCGTACCAGCGCTTGGCAACGGGGCTGCCGCCCCCGCTGGGCGCGGGCTCAGTGCGATCCACGCTCACAGACCGCATGAGCTCGTTGCGCGCCAGGCCATGGACGAGGGCGCGGCGGAGGCCCTCCTTGGACGCACGCACCACGTATTCGTGCCGGTGGGTGCGGCTGCATGTGTGCGTGCGGGTGGGCGAAGCATCAGCCGGCCGGCTTGTGCCCTTTCCAGGTCGGCAGAGATGAGTGTTTGACTCACGAGCGCGGTCTGAGCACGACCTGGGAGGTCCACTTGTCGCTAAAGGGAAACACAGACGCCACATCGGACCAGGCAAGACCACACTGCAGACGGGCGAGCTCCGACTCGGTGTCGACGACCACACGGCGGAACTCGGCTTCGTCGCCCGCGAGATGCGGCAGGTTGGCGAGCGTCAGAGGCCGGCCATCGGCGTTGCGAAAGACGGCCTCGTCCATCGCCATCGTAACGCCCTCTGCTGCGATGGATGGTGGCATGGTTGCATCTGTCGCCCAGCAGCAGCAGCAGCAGCAGCAGCAGCAGCAGGACGACCACGGGACAAGCAACCGGCCAGTGAGATCCGACGCGCGACGGAATGCCAACTTGAGCGGCCGCTGTGATCGCGAGAGTAGAATGGAATGGAGCGGCGCGTCGGCAATGCAAAAGTCACCGGCCATAACGGGGTTCCACGCTCAGGCTCATGAAGATGGTCACACGCTAGGCTTACAAGTCATTCTTGCACGCAGGGCGATAGAGGTGATTGCAGATTCCACTTCCTAACAAGCATTCGGGAAAGAAGCGATGTTTTACAGGGCCTACATCGCTTGAAGCCAGCGAAAGGGTGAGCAAAGTCAGAAAGACACAGAATCAAGTGGTATAGTGCGCTAGAGCTCCAAGAAGGAATGGCAGCGAAGTGGCCAGTAAGATGGACGCCGCCAGCTCAAGAGCAAGCTTCCATATTCGCACGGTCAAACCGTCCGTATCGTGTTTGACAGGGATCGTGCCGTGCTTGAAGTCGAAGGTGGCACGATGAGGGACCGCTTGTTTCGTCTGCTTTGCTATCGCGTGCTCGGTGCACTGCTGTAGATATATGCGAAGACAGTTCTCCGCCTCCTGCTTCCATCCCGAACGCCAGTAGCAATCAAACAAGATCGAAGGAGCAGCAAGAGCGGCAAGGACGAAGGTCAAGCGAATGCGCTGCTTGGGCGATGTGCGCGGAAGAAACAGCGCGTTCGCTAGTGAGTCTCCCAGCAAGAACCTTGTGACAGCACAGTTGGTGGCGAACGAGAGTGGCACAGGTGCGCGGTTTGCGGCACTGTACAGCAGCGGTAGCGCAGGTCCCGTCAAGTCTCGACCAGACTTCATAGCTTCCGTCAGTCCGGTCACTTGCATCCGTGACGGGATTTCGACACCGAGAAAGTGGTGGGAGCTGACGCAAAAGTAGAAGCGCTCCGCGGCCTTGTAGTCCCGAAAACACCTGCGGAGGATCCTAGGCTCGATTCCCATGTAGAAACCGACGTGACGCCACAAAGCGACAAAGTCTTCCCTTTCCTGGGCAGACAGGGGAATGCCAAGACGCTGGAGTGACCATAGTGGCGCAACGCAAAACGATCCGAGAGTTGCCATGAGGTCTTCTTGGTTGATTGGGATGCCACACGTCGCTGAGAAAGCGTCGGCGTCTTTGCCTTGCATGAGGCGCTGGCGAACTCGGGCGTGCAGAAACCTCACACGCGTAGCAGCCGCCCAGCCTAGGCCTCCTCGACTGACATGGTATGGACCGCTTGACGTGGGCTTGGCTTGGGCACTCGGGCTGGACAGCGAGTCATCAGTCCCCATGATGTCGAGGATGAATTGAAGGGTCTCCAGGAGCCGCTTGAAAGTACGCTCTTTTGCCGCGTCGGATAACGGAGCCCTTTCCGCGGTCTCCTCCTCCTTGGACAAGAACATCGAGTGTAGGTCGGAGCTTGTGACAGCCCTGAGCCTATTCAGTCGATCGGAGGCGCGTCGAGCAGCGTCGGTGTCGGCAGAAACGAGGTAGCCAGTCGCTTGAAGCACCGTCATGATTCTCGGGCTCGCAAAGCCGCCAGCAAGTCCGGCAAAAAGCATCGAGAGGAGCGCAGCGGGAAAGTGGCGGTAGAAGACGCTTCTACCCCGTTGGAGGACCAGCCGTTCCTCTTCAAGCTCTTGCCGACATGCTTTGTGCTCGTAGGCGAAAGTGTCCCATCTGCTGAGGTCGAGGTTGTCAGTCGAGGCATGAAGCTCGTCTATGAGTTCTTTGGGCGTGGTATGGTCGTTTTTAGCAAACCACTCCATTCCAACAGCTCCACAGCCGCGAGGGGGCCTCCGATCGACCGAGCGCCAGTAGTCGACAGCATAGCGAACATTCCTTGAGGCTTGTTCGGATAGAAACGATAGGCAGTCTTTTTCATCGACCCCAATGTGCGCCAGGACTTCATCCGTCGTACTATCCGAGTGCTCACGCCAGCTTCGTAGACACAGAAGGGAGTCCCGTCAGCTGCTGCCATCTCCATTCTCGGAATCTTCTCTTCACCTTTCCAACACCATGAAATCGTAGCAGTCATCGTCCCAGCGCACAACGCGATCCCAGGCATACACCAGCATGCCCCTGGACGGCTTGTCACTGCCTTGCCATGAGAACTTCCCGAGTTCTTTGATCGCGCTGTGCAGATGCGTTCCTTTCGCCGATTCGAGTTCGTCTTGGACTCGGAAGAACAGCCCTCGAAACACCGAGTTACAGTACCTCAAGACCGTAAGGTTTACTTTGTCGCTGCTCTTCTCGCTCTTCGAGCTGTTGTTTCTGGCCTTGCCTGGTCCGACGGCAAGCTGTCTCTGTATGTAAGGTGAGAGTGATGCAAGAAAAACGAAAATGCCGCCGACGGCGGCTGCTCTCCAATCACACCAAGTCATCGTGGAGGAACGCGATGCTTTTGTTAGATACACCTCCTGAAGACATCTTATATACCCTTACATCGGAATCACTCAATCCGACAAGGCTTAGCGAGGTACTAAGCGCAATCAGTGGGGCCAGCGGCATCCAGGACGATACGACTGGCTCGTTCGCAACCGACAAAGCTGCTGGAGTCGTACCTGTGGCCTCCGTCCTTGCACTGGGCGGCTTTTTTGTGTCAATTTATTTTTTGTCTCTAGCCTATAAACGTTGTGAATCCCGACAGCCGACAGCCGCCTTCCGAGTTATTGGTATCAAAAGGCTCCACCGCCCTCTCTCAATGAATGGGCTTGACTCGATTCCGGGTTGCTTAACAGAATCCGGCTCGCTTCGCCCGGTTCGATGCTCGTTCACCTAATGGCAATAGCCGGTAGAGTGGAAGAGAGAGATGTCACAGCTGCGCCATGCTTGAAGCGACAGAGGTGACGTGCAATCTCGGTCCAGACCGCCCCAATTCCTGCGTACAGCCGCCAGAAAGACTGCAAGCAGTGCACACTTCATAATTGTTCAATTTTGCAAGCCAACCCAGTAACGACGTAAGGGAAAGAGACGAAAGAAGATGCGTATTTGACAAGCTTCGATGGTCGTCGTCATTGTCTTGGAAGCTCGTTCAAGGGACAATGAGTGCACTAGCAAGAGCTATCTGGGCTGGTGTAGGAGAAGTCTAATGATCACCTCAAGGGTCTTGATAGTAGCCCGAGACACGGACAGGCGCAAAGACGGTCTGACCAGCTGGCTTTCTGCGTTCCTTGACGAGGGGAGCGATGACTTTGTCGGCCCACACCTTACCCACACCAAAGCACCCAGTCCCTGCGAGGCCGGAGTGGCTGTACATGTTCCTGCATTGCTCTGAGCGGCGGGAATGCCTGTTCAAGAAGCGAAGCGAGTCGTCGCGCTGTCCGCCGATATTGTGTCGCCGCACGTGGACCTTGGTCACATCGCCAAGCAGGGGAAACGACTCCAGGTCGTGGCACACTCTCCTCCTATCGATTAATTTGGGCGTGCCGACGATAATGGAGGGAGTGCGGGCTTCGGGAGAGGACGCAGGCACCGTGGAGACGTCGTCACAGTCAGCTTTGTCCAGATTCGTCCTCGTCAGCTCTTCCCAGTGCCGCGGAAAGACATCTACGTCCGTCATGACTGCTTCAAGGACCATGGCGTTTGAGTTCGGCAGGTCGGAGCAGTCCTGCCACTGGTTGCCAAACCAGGCGCCGCGGCTGTTGGCATCAATGGCCTGGGAGCGCGTCTGGTTCTGCGCTAACTGTGCCTGAGCGTCGCCGTCTTTCGCTGTCTTGTCTATGACAACCACCTCGACCTTCAGACTGGCTTTGACAACCTCGTATGCAGACGGACGATTCGTAGGCGCAACTACGTCCGACACGTTGACCCACGCGCCAAAGGCGCCTTCTTTGTCGACGTTGGTATCTGTCGACGATCGATGCCACACGCACGAGTAGGAGGTGTTGCAGTCTTCGTCTTCGCCTTTGCTCTTCAGTGCTTCGGCCAAGTGTTTTCCAGCTGGCTTAGGCACCTGAGGCCGTGTCCACTCGTCATCCCCAAACATCATGCCGGAAAATTCGGTCTTATCCATCTTTTCAAGCTCCTTGTGTAGCTCGTGTCGACCGGCTTCGAGGAGGTGCTTTTGAGCCCAGGTAGCCTCGTTATGCATCTCGAGCCTCAGTTTAACCGACGTTACCTCGTACCGTTCGTTGCTCCGGGCGACAGTGCCGTTGATTTTGTGGTTGCTTCCTTGCACGAGCGCCGGGACCTCTTCCAAAGTCACACTGACTGCAAGACCGGGTAGCTCAGACTCCTTTGGAGGCTCTTCCTCTCCATCCTCGCTCAATCGCAAGCTTCCACGATCATTGGCGCGCAAGGCCTTGCTCGTTGCGTCGAAGAAGTGTGTCACCCCTCGCCTCTTGAGCCCCTGTGGTGGGCTACCGCGCGGCACAGTTGTCGTCTCGCCGCCTGGGACCTCCAACTCTGTACCGTTGACGAGCCTGACCAGTCCGTAGTACTCCAGAGTGACCTCTGCCGCGTAGGAGATGTTGAGGTGGCCGTGGGGAAAGCGCTGACTGCGAGATACGTCAATGGCAAGGTCCACGGGCGGGACCAGCACCGCAAAAGAGGCGTCCTCGGCCACCTGGAAACCTTTTCATCGGAGAGAAGTCAGGGCTTCAGGCATGCACAGTCGATCCTGGACGACTTACCCTCGCGTGGCTCCTCAATGGCGCCCATGTCAGCCATGATGTCAAAGGTGATTCGCTCCTCCTCGACGATGACCCAGTGTTCGTTGCTCCTTATAGCTGTTGCGTACTCTTCAAGCTTGCGGTCGTACTCTTTGCGCTCCTCCTCGTGCGGGTCAAAAACTGTCTCGTCGAGGAATTCACCATCTTGAACTTTCCAACGGTAGCTTTCCCAAGTATAGTTGTATTTTGGCTCAGCAGGCAGCTCGACGTCGGGGAGCGGGTACTTGAGCGCCACACGCTCACGATGGCGCAGACCAAGTGACCACGATGCGACTCGGCAGTCGTCTTGTTCGACGGAGGTCAAGTTGTTGACGAGGCGCGCATCGCCCTCGGCGACCGATGCGCTGTGATAGGAAAGAGTCAGCGCAAGGACCGCCATCTTATAGAGAGAAGGGCAGCTGGCAGCTCACGGGTGCAGATCGTCAGCGCGGACCCAGAGGCGGACATCGCAAGACGCCGCTGAGCCGCTGACGGCGAGGACAGACAAGGTCACAACGACGACCAACAAGAAGCGCAGCATGCCTGAGATGATGTGGAAGTGGGCGCGACAGAGAGGGGCCAGCAGCAGCCGCGAGCATCAGAAGCAGATGCACGTACCGCATGGCCGGGTCTCCGGCGCCGCTAGCGTTTACTTTCCCACTCGACCTAATTTATATGTGGTTGAACGAAGTCAATCAGAATAGGCCACACGATGAGCTCGCATGATTCGAATGGGAAAAGTACTCTGTGGGAAGACCTTTGCCAGGATCTAGCCCAGTCACGGTGTCGCAGAGACTCGTCAAAGAAGAGAGGTGTGAGTGTCTTTTCCTTAATGAAGCACTTCGATGAGAACACTCTGGCTGGGCTCTCGAATTTCAGCCCTGATAGCTAAAAAGCTAGGCCTACAAGACTGTCTCAGCCCCAACCGGCCCTCGAATGCGTTCGAGCGTACGGGTATCCCTGAGGACGTGCATCCGTCACTGCTATTAGTGCTACTGCTGCTGTTGCGCTTCATCGCCCGAGACGAAAAGAGAAAGAAGTTGTTTCGAACTGAGAAATAGCAGAGCAGTAGAGAAGCGCGAGGCCACGAGCGCGGACCTGCATCCGTCGTCATCTCACTTTCATGCCTGCGAATTTTGTCCGATCAGGCTGGCACGCCACGCGCGCAAGCAGAGCACCTGCGCCTCCACATCTGCCTGCCTCTATCTCCTTTTTTTCTGACACCGACGACGGTTTCTTCTCAGCTCGCAACCACACCCCCTTGAGATACAGAAGCATGGCGGTGCACGATCTTGACGTGAGTGTCCCTAGCGAGCGGCATCTGACTGCTCTACTGACATGCGCCGCCTGCAGCCCTTTGGAGTCGTCTCGTACCTCTACCAGCTCGTCCAGATCATCATCTCGCTCATCTTCTCGCCTGTCCCGCCTTCCGCGCACGTCAAGCAGGCGCCTCTCGGCCATGTCGCCATCGTGGGCGCTGGCCTGACGGGCATCTCGTCTGCCTCGCATCTCATCGGCCACGGCTTCGAGGTCACCATCTTTGAGGCCGGCGGAAAGGAGAACCTGGGCGGCATCTGGTCGCGTGTCAACTCGACGAGCGGCCTCCAGATCAGCTCCATCATGTACCGCTGGCACCCCGCCGTGCTCTGGACCAAGGGCTACCCCAAGCGCGACGAGATCCTCGACAACTGCAAGAAGATCTGGAAGAAGTACGACCTGGAAAAGCGGACGCGCTTCAACGTGAGCCGCCTTTCTGCTCTGCATTGAGACATACACACACACTGACACTGACTTTCCCCCCGGCACATGGCAGACACCCGTCAGCTCTGTCACTCGGCACTCGAGCTCGACGGATCCACACAAGAAGGGCCACGCGCGCTGGATTATCAACGGCGAGGAGACCATCTACGACGGCCTGGTCGTCTCGACGGGCACGTGCGGCCAGCCAAAGAAGATGGAGCTGCCCGGCCAGGACAAATTCAAGGGCGTCATCACCCACTCGAGCCAGCTCGACGACGTGGAGCTCAAGGGCAAGAACGTCATCGTCGTCGGCGGCGGTGCCTCGGGCGTCGAGGCGCTCGAGCTGGCCGTGGAAAAGGGGGCCAAGAAGCCGACGATCCTGGCGCGCTCCGACAAGTGGATCATCCCGCGGGCCACGATCATCGATGCACTGCTGGCCCTGCAGCCGTTTGGCCGCGAGACGTGGCTCTCGTTTATCCCCGAGCTGCTCCTCCGCAAGCTCCACTACCGCGACCTCGAGGACAAGATGGCGCCCACCCAGGGCTTCTACGTCGACACGCCCATCGTCAACTCGTCTGCGCTCCAGCACATCCGCCAGGGCAAGGCCGACTACCACCGCGGGGATGTGCTCGACCTGAGCGAGGACGGCGTCGCATTCAACCTGCGCAAGCGCGGCCAGAAGAAGGAGACCAAGGGCAAGCACATGTTCTTCAAGGCCGACGTCATTGTCATTGCCACGGGCTTTGAGATTCCCAAGATCGACTTTCTGCCCCAGGACCTCTTCCCCGAAGACTATGTGAGTGCGACTCTGAGCGAGCAACAAGAGCCGGTGCCAGGGCTGACATGGCCGCAAACAGACGCGCCCCAACCTGTACCTGCAGGTGTTCCCCATCGAAGACATGTCCGTCGTCACCACCAACGCCTCGTTTGTCAAGGCCGTCGGCACCGTCGCCCACATCCACATTGGCATCTATGCCCGCATCCTGGCCCTGTTCCTCATGGTGCCCGAGTCGCGGCCCGTGCCCCGCAACGCCCGGCTGTGGGTCGACATGATCCGCTGGGTCAAGGAGAATGCGCCGGGCGGCCGGCTCAGCTTCTTCACCTACATGGAGCTCATGGTCTGGCTCGTCTCCTTCCTCTTCCTCAACGTCGCCCGGCTGCCGTACGCCTTCTTTGTCCTCTTTGGCTGGGGCTTCTGGACCCGCGACGGTCCCCTCGACAAGCAGGGCCGTGCCGTCGGTGCCCCGCACTTCCATCTCTCGACGAGCAAGCGTGAGTGCTGCACGTGCCCCGTCCCATCTTCACTGTCAGATCTCGCTCACCCTCCATATTTCTTATGCGCGCGCGTGCACATACAGTGCTCCCCCGCTACCGCCAACGCACGGCAGTGGGCGGACCCATTCCACCCCAGCTTGACTCGTCGCTAAAGTAGGACCTCCCTTTTCTCCTCTCTCTTCTTCTTTTGAACCTCCCCATCACGACTCTCTCAGCTCGCGTCAAGCCATGTACAGGATTGTGTTGTCGAATGGAATCATCATTGAGAGCAACCCTAAGATGCCGAGTCCGTGAGAGTGCCGTTCGGCGCCCGACCGGCGCAGAGCCGACTGGCGATGCATGCAGCAGAGAAGGAGAAAGGGGGGATGGGGAGAGAAAGAGACTAACAAGAAGACCAGAGCTCAGACGGCAAGCAAGCAGAGTTACTTAGGCCGAAGCGTACACGTTGGGGCTGAAGGTTTTGTCGGGCTGTTGCACCGCCGCTCCGTCTAGGCGCCAGCCTCCATTCAGGGTGGCTGGGGTGAGGGGGACGCCCTCGCTTGCCTTTGAGGGAGCCTCGGAGTTGGGCCTCGACAGGGGCGCAAGCCGCGCCACGCGGCCGACGCCGAGCGACTCGCGCATCTGGAACACCATCCTGGCGGCAGCCACCGAGGACACGGCAAAGGTGTAGCCAACGGGGACGGAGCGCGTGGCAAAGTCGTGGGGCACCAGGCTGAGCAGGATCGCGGAGAAATTGGCGCAAAAGACGGGAAAGAAGTAGGCGACTGTCTGCCAGAGGACATAGGCAGAGATGCGATGCTCGGGGTCGCCCAGATAGGGGAAGCTGTTGCCTGACAATTGCCACACTTTCGCCAGTGTGATGACGAGCACGATGAAGTCGAACCCACACGAGGCCAGATAGCCCATGACTGTTGGTATTTCTCGTCAGCTCGACGCACGCATCTCGCAGGGCAGAAAAGTGCGCAGACTCGCACCGTGAAAGACCTTTAGGGACTGGCCCTGGAAACACTTGCCGCCATAGGGAATGTCGAGAATGTCGTCGCGGGCGTCGAGGGCAAAGATGGCTGCCAGCCAGCACGCAGACGAGGCCACTGCTGCCAATCCCAGCCCCAAGCGCACCCCATTCTCCCAGCGGCACATGGCGCAGGTGCGCAGGTAGAAAATCGCCTGGACGCTCGTCTGCATGATCCAGAAACAGACCTCGATCGTGTAGGCGGCCGCCGCGCAGCTCGGCGGGTTGCCATAGACAAAGGGGAGCGCAGCGGCAACGGCAGCAAGCGTTGAGTAGCTGTGGCCATGTTGCAGAGTCAAGACAGCCGCGCTTGTCTTGCAAACGGGCTGCTCTTTTCTCACTCACCGAACGATGAGCAGGCACACAACGGCAGCACCGTACTTTCTCTCGCGATGGATGCTGATCTCGGCAGGCAGATGCAGCAGGTACTCCCAGACAATCTTTGAGGTCCAAGATAAAGGTGAGCGATGCAAAGGGAACCAATTAGCATCGCCGATTTTTGACTTACCAGGGTGATGCAGCCTGCAAACATGAAGCTGGTGACCTTTACGATGTACAGCTCGTAGGCCACGTCGATTTCCATGCTGGCCATTTTTGTCGTTTGGCGTCGCAGTATGGTGGGAGAGGGGCGTGTTGGCATGAGTGCTCTGCCGCCGTCTTATATATAGGGGCAACGAGGGAAACGGTTCTCACATATGAGATGCAATAGGACCGATTCTATGCGGGGGCCGTGCTCAGATCTCATATCTTGGCGAGCGTGAGTGCCCGATGGAATACATACGCAGCTCTATCGATTGGCCGTGTTCACATGCAGAGCACAGGGCGCGACATTGAGAGGACAGGACGAGCTGATGATCTCTCACAGCGGCCGTGAAAGAGGGGCTCCGTACGAGGGTGGCGGAGCTGAGCCCCCCCACGCCGAGACGCCGGCCTCGTACGCCGGCAAAAGCACCAGTCGTCTGTCTCGTTGTATCGCTCCGCACCTTGGCGGCCTTGAGAACCGCTTTAAGCAGGCGAAGATGACGTATGGCGTCGGTTATCGAGCCTATTGTGCGATGTGTAAGCTCGCCGGTGTCGAAGTCAATTTGATGAGGCGACAAAGGAATTCAAAGACGGAGGGCAAGCCTCTCTTCATCGATAGCGTGACAAACAGCTCTGCCAAATTCTCCCACGGTCTCTGCCACAATCTGTGCTACGATATACGGAAAGAAGGGACCGCTTTTTCCAGGCAATCAAGAGACCGTATAATTCGGACCGGCTCCCAGCACGACAGGCCAGGAAAGCCAAGAAGGGATAGGGGCGGCGCGGAAGCACGCGGCAATTGCGCACGGGCCAGGAGCATGCGTGGGTCGCCGTCGTCGGCGCCATCAGAAGTGCACGCACCGACCGTCAGCCAGGTGCACCAGCTCGGTGCCCGGGCACTCGTATCGCTTATCGTGCAGGGGCCAAGGTCATAAGGCTGCTTATAGCTAGCCTGGGCGAGATAGACGCAATAATTCGGCCTCGAGCAGAGATCCGGCCTTTGGTGGCGAGGCATATCGGTCTCGTACCAATCAAGCTGTCAATCTGGGCTACTTGGCCGCCCATTGGGGACCAGATTTCTTGGCCACTGCCTGGTGGGTGCGACACCATTTCCGGCCGAAAGGCGCGCGGCCCGCCTCTTCCTTTTTCTCGCACAGGTCAAGTGGAGATGTGGGTGGGCAGTGGAGTTAAGGATGAGCTGTGGAGCTAAGGGCGCGCCGACATGGTGGAGTTAACGGAGATGCTCCACCGACAATGGCGGTGGCGCAGCGCCCGTTGTCGGTAGGGGTAGGGCCTTAGAGGTATATAAGAGAGACGCCATCGCCCTTCCTCGCTGTATACAGCAACAAGCACACACACACACACACACACACAATGACTGGCACAGTTGTACTCGTCACAGGCGCCAACAGCGGCCTCGGCCTGGCCACCGTCCAAGCCCTGGCTGCGTCTCCACGGGGCTACCGCGTGCTGGTCGGAGCACGGACGCTGGACAAGGCCGCCGAGGCCGTCAAGCAGCTCTCGCCAACGCCCAGCAGCGAAGTCAGCCCCATCGAGGTCAACATCTCGAGCGACGAGTCGATTGCGAGGGCATACGACACTGTCAAGGAAAAGTACGGAAAGATCGACGTGCTGATCAACAACGCTGGTGAGTTTTGGCTTGAAAGTCTACTATCGTAAAGCATGGCTGTGAAGCTCACTGGGCGGGAGAAACCACACAGGCGCCAACTTTGACATCCTTCACCGGCAGGGCCAGATGGGCCTGCGCGAGGCCTGGACACAGAGCTGGGACACAAACGTCACGGGCGGACACGTGCTCACCCACACGTTTGCGCCCCTGCTCCTGGCATCGCAGGACCCGCGCCTCATCTTTGTGAGCAGCACCACGGCCTCGCTGCAGGTAGCCAGCGGCCCACCGCCCTCGTGGAACGCAGCGATGCCCGCTGGCTGGCCCAAGCCTGCCGTGGGCATCGCCTTTTCGGCGTACCGGAGCAGCAAGACGGGCTTGAATATGATGATGCTCGAGTGGGCACGCATGTTCAAGCAGGACGGCGTCCGCGTCTTTGGCGTCGACCCGGGCAGGCTGGTGACGAACCTGGGCCGCCGCAAGCCTGACCCCGAGATGGCAAAGAAGATGGGCCTGCGCGAGCCCTCGGAGGGCGCCGACCTGCTCCTGCAAATTGTCGAGGGAAAGAAGGACGCCGATGCGGGCAGGGTCATCGACGAGAACGGCGGCGTGATGCCGTGGTAGTACATGTCATTCTATCTTTTCTCTATTGCAAATAACGATCGATCATGGCACGGCATAGCTCGGATAGCCCTCTGCGGTGGAAAGAATTAAGTAAGCGTGGAGAGATGGGATGGAGGAATGCAGAAGGCACCCACCATCGGACGAAGCCCACCAGAGGTTGAGGCAGGACCACGAGTGGCGGTCGAAGCTCTGCGAGGGGTTGCAGTCGCACCGGCCGCTGTCGTGGTAGGCGCCATTGGCGGGGCAGTGGTCCCAGGACGAGTGCTTGTAGCCAATGTCGTCAAAGTGGTGCACCTTGCACTTGTCCTGGAGCAGGCTGGCGGCGATGGTGTGCACGGGCGCGTCGCCCCACCGCTCGTAAAAGAAGCCGCCCTGCTTGTCGAGATAGTCAAAGAAGTCGAGATAGGCCTTTGAGCGGAAGAAGCTTTGCCCCGCAGGCGTCAGTCCTCTCTTGTCATTGATCAGAAATGAAAGTCCAGCTCACTTGAGGTCGCCAATCTCAAAGTTGGACCAGAAGTGGCAGGTGTTCCAGTCGTCGCCGCCTTCAGTGGCCGTCAGGAACTGCATGATGTTCCTCTCAGCCACGTGCTCGGGGTGCTCGTCCATGAACGCCTTGGTCGTCTGCCACAGCGTGGGCACCGTCTCTCTAAACTCGCGGGCGGTGATGGTGAATCCATACGTCTAAAGCGCGGTGGCAGTGGTGTCAGGGTTGAGAACAAGCAAAGACAGAGAACAAAACGAACCTTGTTGTTGAGCTGCATGAATGCAAATGGATCATAGTCGACGTCGCAGTAGAGCTTGATGCCCGGCTCGACGCGCCAGTAGTAGTCGAGATCGAGGGTGAGGTTGTGGCGGAAGAAGAAGCCCGAGTTCCAGCGGCACATGTGCCGGTACGACTCGGAGCTGCCGTAGACGACGTTTTTCATCCGCTCGCGTGTCTCGGCCGCCTTGTCCTCGCTGATCCACGACGGGTAGCTCCAGTGCTCGTGGGGCACCTGGCCGAAGCGCACCTCGCTCCGCGTCACCTTGCGCACGCCGTCCTTGAACTCGTCGGTGAACGGTTGGTCTATTTCCACTGGTCAGCTTCTGCTTCTGGACAGGACCCATGGGAGACCAACGCCGCACCATTGAGAAAGATCCACGGATAGCCGTACTTTCGGTTGAAGCGGTACTCCACTGTGGGTGGCAGCCACGGTCAGTCTTCCTCTAGAGGACAGCGACGATCGGACTGCGTACCTTGGCGCATGCTGCTCTTCATGTCCTCGAGCTCTTCGTTGCGCACGAGCACGATGAAGCCAGCGTTGACGCGCGGCTGTGTGTTGGCCTGCGACGGGACAAACGTGGGCGGGTAGAGGTTGCCGTCTTTCCCCTGCGTCGCTCCGCCTGACACCTCTTCGTCGGCCTGCAGCGACGAGGGTGCTGGGACAGCGGCCGTGTCTGCGGCACTGCTCGTGGCGGCTGCCGCTTCTGCCAGTGCCTCCAGTGCCAGCGTCGCACTGTGTGTGTCGGAGCTGGTGCTGGTGCTGTCCGACGGCGAGGAGAAGGAAGAGGCTTCGCGAAAGCCGACGCGAGTCGATGGCACGAGGTTCAGCCATGCCAGGAAGCCAAGCGCCGTCAGCACGACGACAAACACGACGGCGAGCGGTCTGTTGCGAGCGGCGGGTCTGCCCTTGCCCCTGGCCGACACGGGCAGCAACATGACTGCTGGTTAGTGGTGGGTGAGAAGGACAGACATTTAGCAAACGTGGATGGGGCACGTCGTTCCCGTGCTAGGACGCCGCCAAAGCCGACCGGCAAAGCCACCGAATTGACATATGCAGTGGAAATTTTAATAGTAGATAGTGGGCCTCTTCTGCGCCGGCGGGCTGTGCCCAGGTGCAGCTGCTCACTTTCAAAGACCCGCGGCCGACGTACGCGTTTATAGAACAATAGCGTGTAGTTCACTCGGCTCCCCGAGGCACGACTGACTTCGTCGTTGTCGAACAGGGGACTCAAGAGCAAGAGGGGCGCTCGCTGCTCGGGACAGCACGTCATCCGCTTATACAGTATGTTTCCTCGGCCAAAATCAGCCCAGCCAGGGTCTTCTCGAGCCTCAGAGCCGAGCAGGACGCACCTGACTCTAGCTGGATCGAGCGGCGACCCAATCCCTGCAGATCGGCCCCAGGAACGCGCGCGTGTGCACTAAATAAAAAGAGTGAGCAATTGGGTCAGCATTCAACGTCGAGTCACAGACCAACCATGTCGGGGCAGACTGCGGCGTGCGACGTCGAGATGGCTCGGGGGGAGCAGCGAGAGGAGCACAGGATGGAGGCCATCCCGCAGCACCCAGGAGCACGACCAGAGAAGAAGGCGAGCCGCGAGGCAGCAGCAGCGGCAGGCAAGGTGGGCGCGCCTGCTGCTCCTTCCGCTGACGGCTACGACGACGACGACGACAGCGACCCAAGCCACCCGCGCAACTGGCCGCAGCGCCAAAAGTGGATCAACACCCTCTGCTGCTCCATGGGTGGCCTCGTCACGCTCATGTCTGGCGCCATGCTCGCCCCTGCCCTCGAGCACATACGCGCAGACCTGCACACGTCGTCATCGACGGCCAACCTCATCCTCTCCATCTATGTCCTTGCCTTTGGCTTTGGGCCCCTCGTCCTCGCCCCGCTGACGGAAATCGTGGGCCGGAAGCCGGTCTTTGTGGCGTGCGGCCTCTTCTACGTCTGCTTCAACACCGTCGCCGGCTTCGCACGCACCGTGCCCCTCGTGGCCGTCGCCCGCTTCCTCTCGGGCCTGGGCGGCAGCGCCGAGTTTGCCGTGACGAACCCCACGCTGAGCGACTGCTGGCGACCGTCGGAGCGCGGCTTTTCCTTTGCCCTCTGCAACTTCATCCCCCTCCTCGGCCCGGCGCTGGGCCCGATGCTGGGCGGCGTCGTGGCGCAGCACGTGGGCTGGCGCTGGATCTTCTACCTCATGTCCATCCTCGACTTCTGCGTCGTGCTCCTCGTTGGCTGGCTCTTCAAGGAGTGCTATCCGCCCCTCGTCGTCGGCAGAAGCAACAACAGAGGCAGGGAAAGGGAAGGGGACACGAGCGCCGTCGCAGGCAGTGTCACCAAGCTCAAGCTCAGCCAGGCACTGCTGCGGCCGCTCAAGCTGCTCGCCTTCAGCCCCTTTATCCAGGTTATGTCCGTCGCCCTCGCCTACAACTTTGGCGTCCTCTACATTGCCGTCACCGTCCTTGCCTCGGTGTACATGGACCGCTTCGGCATGTCCGAGTCGCAGGCCGGCCTGCACTACGTCGGCCTCGTCGTCGGCTACACGCTCGCCTCGCAGGTCGGCGGCAAGCTCACCGACGTCTACTGGCGCCGGGCCTCGGTGCGCACGCCCGAGTCGCGCCTGCTCCTCGTTGGCCCCGGCTCGCTCCTCGTCGTCGTTGGTCTACTTTGGTGGGGCTGGTCTGCGCAGCACCGCCTGACTGGCTGGGCCAGCGTCGACGTCGGCCTGGGCGTCTTTGGCTGCGGCATCATCCTCTCCACCCAGGCCATGCAGATGTACGTCATGGAGTCCGTCGGCTCAGCCTACGTGGCATCGGCGTCGTCGGCGTCGCAGGTGCTCCGCAACGTCTTTGCCTTTGCGTTTCCCGTCTTTGCCCCCCTGGCCTACCGCCGCCTCGGCTATGGCTGGGCCAACTCGGTCCTGGCCCTGGCCATGCTTCTCGTGGCGGTGCCCATGCCCCTGCTCCTCTACCGCCTTGGGCCGCGGCTGAGGCGCAACCTCTCCTCGCTCCTGTAGCTCCACCACCTCGCTCCTGTCACTCACCCTCTCACTCCTGTGTTCCACCATCTCACTCCTGTATTTCATCATCTCGCTCCTGCAATCCACCATCTCATTCGTGCTTTTACGCTCTATAAATGCTACATCGATCGCACCGACTTAGTCATTGTTCTCGCTACTCTACCGTGCACCGAGGAACAGGCCCCACACGACGGCGACGAGCATCCAGGGATGCAGCAGGGCTGCCGAGCCCGTGGCGCCAAAGACGACGCCGACGAGGACATTGGAACGGGCCACATCGCCGTAGCGGTCCAGGTATCTGAGCAGGGTGCGGAGCACGGTGCGCTGAGCCCTGCCCGTCGTCGCAGCGAGAGTGGGATTGACTGTGGTGGTCGATGCTTCTTATTAGAGCCAACAACAAGAGTGCCGACGTCTGCCTTCTACTCACGCTTGCGCACTTCGGGGCTCGCCAGATCGAGGGCACGGTTGAAGCCAAAGAGGGTGTACGTCTTGGTCCTCCGCCTGGCCTCAAAGTCGCGCATCACATCGGCCATGGCCTGCCAGCGGCCGAGGCTCGTCGACAGGGCGAGGCAGTCCATCATGGCCTTTTCCGTGCCCTGGCCAAACGCCGGGTTGAGCTTGCAGAACGAGTCGCCGACGAGAACGAGGTTGGCCGGCAGCCTACGGTTGCGCGCATCGATGCGGCACACGTACGAGTCGTGTCCGCGCGCATGCACGAAGCGCACCTTGTTCCCCGTCGCAGCCTCATTCTCTGCCAGCAGCGCCATCGACTCGTCGAACCATGCGCCCGGCTCGGCACCCGTGTTGGCCCGGTAAGTGGCCCGCATGCATTTGCCAAACGTCGCCAGGTCCGTGGGCATCTCCTGTGCAGCCGCGTCGTACTTCATCCAGCCCAGGTAGCCTGTCGGAGGCAGCGTCAATATCGCTGTCCTGGCAGCAGCAGCATCAACCACACCCACACTTGTCGCCGTCGGTATGCGCCATGCTCGCGTAGCTGCTCTGCTCCGTCAGGAGCGGCGAGGAGAAGCTGATGGGCGAAGCCTGGCCCCACGTGGGTCGAGAGGCCGCCGTCGTGGCAGGCAGGGGCATGCGGTCGCGGATGGTCGCGTCGAGCGCAAAGGTGGCCGAGGCATAGGCAATGTTGATCCGATAGCTCTCGCGCTGCGGCTCAGTAAAACGGCCATCGCCCCGAATCAGCCGTCGATACACCTGCGCGGGCCCTGAGCAGTCAATGAGCAGGCCGCAGTTCAGTGTCGTCGTCGTCGTCGTCGTCGTCGCTGGCCGCGGCTGGCCATCATGGAGCACGACATGCACCTGGCTCACCTGGCCGCTTTTGCCGTCACACGCCATGCCCGTCACCCGGCCACGGATGACCTCGACGCCAGGCGTGTGGTGCGCAGCGAGGTCGGCCAAGAGGTCCTGCATGACGGGCCGCGAGATGGCCAGTGCGTTCTTGCCCGAGGGCCCGAACCGCGGCGCCCGCTCGTCCCAGCGGAACAGGTGCGCACCCAGCAGCAGCTCGAAGCGAAGCGTGGACGTGTCGTCGAAGCGGCCACCACGCGCAACGGCACCGGCTTCAAAGGCGCCCGGCCAGAGCCGATGGAGTGACTCGACGGCAAAGTTGGAAAAGATGTGGACCTGGTCGTACTGCATCACCCTCGAGCGCCGCGATGCATCGTCCGTCGACGGCTCGACCATGACGACGCGCGCATAGTGGTGCGAGGCCACGCAAGCCATCATGCAGCCCGCGATGCTGCAGGGGTCTCTGTCAGTGCCACTTATGCTACAGGGACTGCCTGACGAACCTGCCACCGATGATGACGCAGGTCGCATCGCGCTTCTTGCCCTCGTCGGCCGTGCCTCGACGCGCGGACAGCTCGGAGAAGCGCTCGGCGTCGAACATGGCCGTCTCGGCCTCCGTAGAGCGGTCGACTATGGCCCTCCATAGTCTCACGTGCAGGGAGGGAAGGCTGGCGAGGCCTACGAACAAGAGGGCGAGGAGCAGGATCATCACGGTGGGAGAGCGGGGAACACTTGATTGGAAGAGATAGGAATCCCGCTGGCTCTTAAGTGGGCCATCGAGGCCTCAGCTGTCCTGCTCATGCTGCCACAAGCACGCAGAATCAGCCGATTCCCGCTCCGCTCACGCCTCCGCCGCCCCCCTTTTCCTCGCCAGCAAGGCCATCGCCGTTTGTCTGTCTGAGCATGGACACAAAATGCGACGGACGACCCAAGTCCCGTGTTCCGTGTCCCGAAGTACGAAAATAACACTGGAGGGGGGCGCGATGTGGACGAAAAGTGCGGGACGATGGGTGACACTGGCTCAGAGAGAGATAAACATGCAATGAAGAAGGACGACGAAGATTCCCGGCTGGCCAGCTTTGCCGCGTACACGCCCCTGGTCGCGGCGCTGCTGGCGCCCATGTCGACGCTGTACGACATCCCTGCGCTGTCGCAGCCCTGGTATGCGTTCAACGGCGCCGCGCTGCCCGATCCAAGGGCGTCGCTCGTCCTGTCGGGCGTGAGTCTGGCCATGAGTGTGATTGCCAACTCGCTCCTCGTGCTCCGCTTCTCTGTGCATGTGGCCCGTGTGAGTGGTCAAGCTGGAAGCGCAGCATTTTCATGAGGTCTCCAGACTAATGCAAGAGAGGAAACGCGCGCATCAGCTCTGGCGATTTGCGACGCGCCTCTCCACGCTCGCCTGGGTCATCAAGACGTGCATCGGCATCGCCAACCTCATCACGTTTGGTGCGCTCGCCAGGAATGGCCCTGGCTACTCGTACCTCGAGGGTGCGTCTGAGGTCTCTCTCTCTCTCTCTTCGAACGACCAAGCTGACACACACCGAGACAGGCTTCTGGTGTGCGATCCTCTCCGTCGTCATCAGCGGCATCATCAGCACTCTCCTCGTCTTTCAGTTGTGCGTTCTCTTCTATTCTGTCTCGCGGTCTGTTTCAGCTTTCTGACTCAGCCAACACAGCCTCTTCCACTTCAACCGCTCGCCCGACGCAACGATCAGATTCCAGGGCCGCACGTTCATCGTCTCGGAGCTCATCCTCTTTGGCCTCATTGCCCTCGAGGCCCTCATCTTCAGCAAGATCGAGGGCTGGACCTACCTCGAGGGCATCTACTTTTCCGTCGTCGCCCTGCTCAGCATTGGCTTTGGCGACTTCTCGCCCTCCAAGACATCGACCAAGATTCTGCTTTTCCCCTTTGCCATTGCCGGCATCGCCCTGCTGTCGAACCAGGTGTCGCTGATTGTCAAGGCGTCGAGCGCACGCCGCAAGAGGCGCCGCCAGCGCTTTGCACGCCTGCTCGACACGCGTCGGCATGCCAACCTGGAGCAGTCGCACCCCGAGACGCTCGAGGGCGAGGCAAGGCGGCTCCACCGGCTCGTGCAGGACGAGGAGAATGCGAGCGAGCTCGCCGACCTGCTCTGGTCGGCCGTCGCCCTCGTCGTCTTCTGGCTCCTGGGCGCCCTCATCTACCGCTACATGGAGTCGTGGACGTACGGCAACGCGCTCTACTTTAACTACGTCTTCTTTCTCACCATTGGCTTTGGCGACTACTCGCCCGAGACGCCCGTCGGCCGAGTCGTCTTTGTCCTCTGGGCCCTCCTGGCCGTGCCGATCATGACCAACTTTGTCGTGCAGGCGATCCAGTCGATTGTGGGTTGTCTCTCGCCGCCTCGCTGCCTACTGACCACTCACACGTCACATGCAGGTCACGCGCTTCTCCAAGTTCCTCACCTCGATGACGCGCGAGAAGCGCACCGAGCGACAGGACCTCGAGCGCCAGTACTTTGAGCCCCACGCCTCGTACCTCGATGAGGCGCGCCTGGGCTTCGAAGAGAAGCTTGCCGAGGGCAGCGAGCAGCAGAGTGCCGCCGAGGAGCACGACCTCACCGTCGAGGTGCTCCAGCTGGCGACGTTTCTCGAGGCCCAGGCGCGCACGCTGCTCGTCGACAGCCTCCACCGCGCCTCGACGGAGCGGCTGCTGCTGCAGGCCGACGCCAACGTGCAGACGCGCCTCCTCGACGAGCTCGGCGCCCTCGACGGGATCCCCTGGCGCGAGCAGCTGCGCGAGATGCTGCAGAACGAGACAGAGACGAGCAGCCTGGACCGCGTGCGCGAGTACCGTAGGACGTACGCACGGCTCCTCGTCACGGGCGCGCGCCTGCTGCGCCTCGAGGGGCGCGACCTCGACGTGTTTGAACGCAGGCGCAGCGATGCCTGAGCGTGGGCGGCGTGGAATGACTGTCCTTGTCGGTGTGGCTAAAATATCGATGGTATGCATGATCTTCAGCATCGGCGCACATGGACACTCTGCTTGAGCCTCTCTCTCCTTCTCAGTCTTTTCTACACGCACTCGCTCGCTGCCTAGACTCTGTCTATAATCGTCGTCATTCACCGTGCATGTATACATGCGGCCACACGGACAAGTCTGCGCCCTCGCATAGTCGAGCAGCACCTCCTCGAAGCGCTGCGTGGCCGTGCGCCACTGCGTCAGGTGCGCCACGCGGCTCGACACGCTGAACGAGAGATGGAGCCGGCCCCCGAGCGCATAGGCGTAGCAGAAGAGGAGGCCGTTGCGGTGCGAGCGCACCTTGAAGTCGGCATCTGCCTCGACCTCGGTCGGAAGCACGTCCTTGTCGTCGTCTTCCCCTTCACCACCCTTTTCACGCCGCACAAACGCATCCATGTCGCCCAGCGAGCTCATCGACGGCACCGTGTGGCTCGGCGGCGGCAGGAGGCCCAGCTCGGTGGCCAGGATAGCCTTGCTCAGCGGCCGAAACTGGTCCTGGTAGGCGGTGCGCGACAGCCAGTCGGCCCGCGCGCCACCGCGTCCCTCGTCGTACTCGTCCAGGCTCCTCTTGACGTCGCGGCAGAGCATCTCGACGACGGCGTGCCTGCTGGCACCCGCTTCCAGGGCTCCGTACGCCGCGCCGATATCGCTCTGCACGATGCCAAACATAAAGCCCGCGGCACTGCTTGCCTCGAGGCCGGCCCGCTGGGGCGACAGCTGCTTGAGCATCGAGATCTGAAGCGCGTACAGCACCACAAGCTCAGTCCCACGTGTGAAAGCCCTCTAGACGTGGATAACGGAGGCTGCTTACCGTCGCAACTGCATCGTGCCAGACGAAGCTGCTCTCGCGGCTCTTGCCGCTGCCGTCGCTGCCACTGCGGCCAGGCGTGGGGATGCCCTGCGGCACGTCGACGCCAGCCTCGCCACCGTCGGCCCGAGCTAGCTCGAGGAGTGCGACGAGGACAGCGGCATGCAGGCACGGCGTGATCGTCAGGCCCTTGGCGCGCAGCTTGCTCCTCAGCCTCTGCGTGTCCTCGGCCGAGAGGGTAACGGCCTCGTAGCGATTGTCCTGCGCCTCGTACTGGCCCTCGCCGAAGCGCATCGCCACGGGCGGCTTGGTGAACTGCCCATTATGTGTGTCAGAGCTCTGATCAGGATACCGATGTGGCGTCAGCGAGCCGCCAGAACCTGCCCTCACCTCGCCAAACGAGCGCTGGACCTCGGCCACGAGAGCAGCGTCGTCGATGCTGCTATTGCTGCCCTTCAAGTCCTTCCGATGGAGGTCGATGTGGCTGGGCGGCAGCCGCAGCAGCTCGCGCCCGCGTGCAAACGGCCTCTCGAGCCGGTGCGGCGCCTCGAATGCGTGGCGGAGATAGTTGAGGAGGGTGAACATGCCCCTTCCTGTGATATTTCCATCATCAGCCCGTGCGCGGCCTGGTCTCGTCCTCGATCTGACTGCTCACCGTCGGTGTACGAGTGGCAGCACTGCATGATCAGCGCCACCCGGTCCGTCGTCGCCGTCGCCGAGCTCGAGCTGCTGTCGATGAAAGCGTAGAGCTGCACCGCATGCCTGGGTCCTTGGAGGCCGACACCGGCGCCCAGGCGCTGGCCCTTGTCTGCCAGCAGCGCACGCAGTCGCTGATCGCGCACCACCGCCAGCTCCTCGCCTTGGGCGAGGTGCTCCACGGTGAGCGACTCGGCCACGCGTGTGTGCAGCGCCGCCTCGCTGGCCGCGGGCGTGTAGGCGAAGCGGTAGGTGTCAAAGGCAGCTGCGTCGGCCTGCGACGCCCCGTCAGACACGGCGCGCGCATATAAGTGGGGGAAGTGGAGCACGCAGCAGGCCCAGGCACGGCGGACACGCGCCTCGGCCTGCGCCGGCGTCACCCTGTCTGCCGTGAGCCGGAGGGTGAAGGCGAGAAAGAGCTCGCTGAGACCCTCGCTGTGCAGGTGCCAGTCGTCTGTCTTGAGTTGTGAGCTGCCACGGCGACTGCCTGCCTGCCTGCCCGTCCGTCCATACGTCTGTCGCACTCACGAGCCATGTTCTCAAAGCCGCCCAATGGCCTCTCCCACTCTTTGCCCACCTGCCTCCAGGGGGCCGGCGCTGCTGCTTCCTCCCTCACAGCCATGGTACGCTTCGTTGCATGCAAAATTGTAAGCCCGATCCCCTCTTCTTATAGGAGTTTTAAAGACGCCTCCTCGACGCATAATGCTTGCATGAGAGCTGCACACGAAGCCAAGACAAGTTTAAAATCAAAAGTTCAGAGATGGCCTTCGCCTTGAGAGAGAGGGCCGGCCTCGCGCGCACCTTGCGGTCGTTGTAGCGAGCTTCGGCCGTCAGTCAGTCTCGGCCGGGGTGAATTGTAGACAGGTGAATGGGATTGCACTGGGTGACAAGGACTAGGAGAGAGGCCAGAAGGCCAATTCATTATCACACAACCATGCTCGCATACGCCTTGCGCGTCTTGACGACGACGGGAATCGGCGGCTTGACCATGACAAAGCAGTCGCGGATGCCCTCCTGGAAGGCGTCGGCATCAAAGCCAGGCGCAAACTTGGCATCAAACGTCTGGCAGAAGCGCGCAATCATGGCGCGCATCTCGTGGTAGGCCACGTTGCGCCCGATGCAGCCCGTCGGCCCGTAGCCAAAGGCAGCAAAGGCCTGTCGAGCAGGGAAAGGAAAGGAAAGCGTTAGCAAGGGGGTACTCTCGCGTTGGGAGTGATCTAACACACCTTCTGATTAAACACCTCGCCCTCCTTTAGCTTGTCGATCCATCGGCGGGGCAGGAACGAGTCGGGGTCGGAGAAGTTGCGCGGGTCGCGCTGCATGGCGTACGTCATGGTGGAGACGACGGTGTTGCCGGGAATGTAGGTGCCATCGGGCAGCGTCAGGCCCTCGGGCGGCGTGTTGCGCTGCAGGCCGCTGGCGACGGGCGGCCAGAGGCGCAGGGCCTCGTTGATGCAGGCATTGATAAAGGGGCACTCCTTGGCGAGCTTGTCAAAGTCGTCGGCCATGTGGCCCTCGCCAAATGCGGCCGCAACCTCGTCGCGCACCTGCTGGTAGTACTCGGGGTGCTTGACGAGGTAGTAGAGCGTGACGGCCATGGCGTTGGACGACGTGTCGCTGCCGGCGACGATGAGGAGGCCCGCCTCGGCGCTGAGTTCGTCGAATGTCTGTGGGTTGCCCCTCGCCTTGCTCTCGCCGAGGAGATAGGAAAAGACGTCTGCGTCGACGCAGCCCGTCTTGCCCTCCTTGACGCGGACCTTGAGCGTCTTGACGATCCACTCCTCAAACAGCCGGATCGGGTTGGGAAAGTCCTTGACGAGCGACATGATGTACGGCACGTTGCCCGAGGCCATGATGAGGATGACGCCCTGCTCGAGGAGGTGGATCTCGTGGGCCGTCTTGCCCTTCTTGACCATGTCGAACCCGCGGCCAAAGCCGAGCTCGCCCATGACGTCGAAGCCGAACCAGCTGCACCACCGGCCCAGGTCCACGGGCCCCTCGGCTTCGCGCTTGGAGATCTGCGACATGGTCAGGTTGACATTGTCGAGGATGTTCTCCTCGTAGCCCTTGATTGCCTTCATGGAGAACGCAGCGTCCCACACCTTTCGCCGCGACGCATGGTCGGACATCGTCGGCGTCGACTGGAGGTTGCGCGCCCCGACCCGTGTCGATTCGACGGTGAAGTCGTACCACGGTCCACGGGTGCACCGGGCTGCGGCTCCCGTGGCGCCATAGATGGCGCTCAGCGCAGCCGGGTCGCAGACCGACAGCTCGCGCGGGCCCGTGCGGATCACATCGCCGTACTTGCGGTGGTACCTTTGGAACATGTAGGGCCGCTGGCCGCGCAGGTCCGGGTACACCATCACCCACTTGGACAGGCGCAGGTAGACTGGGCCAGGAAAGTGGCGCAGACGGTGGAAGAAGAGGCGGTAGATGGCCATGCTGGTAAACAGCGTCGCGACCCAGACGACGTTCATCTGCCACACGATGCCCGCCGACGCAGACGGCGAGAGCCGCCAAGCATCGTGGATAAAGTAGGTCAGCGCCGCGTTGGTGAGCATCCACAGGGCGAAAAACGGCCTCGAGCGCGGCTCGCGGTACTGGACACCGAGGTGCAGGAGCAGCGCAGCCGCGATGGGCACGTAGAAGCGCAGCTCGACGCTGCCGGGCACCCGCAGCGCCTCGAGGGACAGATCGACGACGTGCTGATTCTTGGCTGGCATGGTGGGTCGTGTCCGTTGAGAGAAGCAATAGCGTTCACTTCGGTATGCTAGGTTCTTCTACTTATAAAAGGGGGCAACAAGGTCCATCCCGGCTATGCCATGAAACCGGAAGTCCAAGTGGAAATCGGTCTCCCATCCGGGGTAACAGGTCAAGCAATCTGGGGTACTAATTTGCGGAGACGCGCTTTGCTTGCTTTCGACTTTGATTTTTGGCATATTACACGTCGTGCGTGGCTCGCGGTTCTCTTCTGGGCCGACACTCGAGGGCACAGAAGACCGGTGGCCGGCGAGGTGGAGGGATCTTCATTTTCCACGTGTTTCGAGGTAGCATTCACCGGTACCCCAACCCGTGGCACTGTCTGACGCCGATGCCACTGACGCGCGGCTGCAGCATGCCGTGCAACGGCAACGCGACAATTGCGTGCGGCGGGGCATCGAGGCTGAATCTGTATGCGTTCCTCAACGGCACCACACCCATGTCACCCTCTGCGCTACAGCTGTCCAAGTAGAAGATTCGTCCTCGTCAACTTTCAATTACGCCTTGCCCGCCAGATGAAAGGTGTTCGGATTTACCGATTTGCTTTACCCTTCAGTAATCTTCATGTATACTACTACCTGTTTTGCTCGCTTTAACGAGGTTCGACTTCAATTACCTGATGACAAGCACCGGCTTCCGTACTGTCATGCCTGTGTCGCGTTCTGAGCTGCGTTGCAATCATAGCTGAGGATTCTGATTGACAAGGATAAGCTATGGCTCTGGTGCAAAGGGGGGAAAATTCGGCCACCCATGCTCGAGCGATAATACTGCCTCTCTTGGCCAACCTGGCTCCTTTGATCCCTTGTCAGTCTGTGCGTTCCAGACATCCGCTGTCTTCTGAGCCAACGCTGAGTCCGTGTTGATGTCGACGAGGTGACCCAGGGGGTGCAGAACATCATGTTTTTTAAAGACCTGGGCCACATCGTCGCCTGTCAGGTCGCCTGAGCCATCCTTTCCCAGCCACGCTTGCCTTAGAAGAGGTCGGAGGGCATTGAGAGCGTCTGCTACTTGTGAGCGCGCTTGGAATACAGGGGACCAGAGCGGTTTGTCGGTCTCTGAATCCCGCCGGGGAAGAATCATCCCTTCAAAGCTGTTCAGCCGGGCCGCAAGTGCGATCAGGGATCCGTAGCCGGCTTTGTCGACGTTTCTGATTTTTATCTTCAGATGTTTGACTTTGCCTGATGTGCATAGGGCGTTGAATAGCTGTATTGCGACCTTGGTGAGAAGCTCCTCATCGCCTTCGACATTGTCGAATTCGAGGGACAAACATTCGACGCCAGCCAGAACGGGCAATGTTTCCATTACATCTGAACGTGGATTGACGCCAGGCGCATGGAACATTCGCAAGCTCTTTGGCTCTCGCACCAAAGCATCCACGATAGGTTTCGAAGGCAATGCAATCTCCATTTCCCACACGAACGCTTCGAGGTTGGGCAGACGGTCAATGATCGCTATGATCTCTCTCTCACAATCGGCCCACGAATCGATCCCGGGTATCTGTCCTTCCCCTGTTGGCCCATTCTTCATGACCCATTCCTCAGGACCATTGGCATAAACTCCAATCCTGAAGAAATTGTGCTCCCAAGTTACCGAAAAGGCGTCCGGGTCGTAGAAGTCCGGTGGATAGGTGTATGGGAGCCACTCGGGGTGCTCTTTCTCTTGCTCGCACAAGTTGCATGTCAGCAAGCACTCTTCTGGTGGTCCGTCATGATCGAGAGAGGTGTAAGGCGGTAGCTTCACCAGCTTCCGTCGATCCATGAACAACAGCTCGAAAGGGTGTGGTAGCGGCCTTGGCAAGGGTTCATCGAGGAGGCGCAGCATATGAGCGGAAGAGCACATGTCGAAGGGGACCTCCGCTCGCCACTTGAATCTTTTGACGTGTTTTTGCATCTCTGGAAGCTCAAAACGGTTGCTGGTGCCCGGTAAAGAGTCGTCAAGGGTAGCTGATTCGCGCGCCAGAAGGAAAGGAGCGAGAACATCCCACCAAGACCTCGTCGTTTCCAAAAGCGACCAAACGCTTCCGAAGTCCTTCCAAGCGACGAGGTGCTTGACAACTTCGATGCGCAATTCGTAGGGTAGCCGCCGAAAGATGTCGTGGCGGTGGCGGAGTGGGGGTCCGGCCAACATGGTGATGGTTTGATAGAGAGAAGCGAGGGTGGGCTCTCTGCGCCTCGTTGCTTGCGTCGTGCACGCGGTGGGCGTTCGATTTTTAGTGCAATTCTAAATAATACGTCGTCGTGAGATTCTGCCTCAGCTCTGCAATCCAGCGTTTGTATTGATAGCGATAGGACATGTTACTACTACTTCTATTTTGGCCTCTTCGAAACTTCAATTCTAGATACAGACCGATCGGCCAGCGCCCATGAGGGCGTGTTCTGCGCAAATAAATCGTGATAGCTTGACGACCTGCTGCTAGTCTGCCTTACTTTCTGCAGCGGCAATATACCTGAATCATCATCTCCAGTCTGGTTGACAGAATATATATTGCTGACCTACTGTTCAAAGGTGAGAAAAGGGTTTGGAAGTTGACTTCACTAGAATGATTTGGATCTTTGAGGGAACGATGTGCTGGTGGTCGATGGGACGCAGATCGACCTCGCATGGAAGCCCGCCCGCCAGCTATGCCCGATAGTACCACGACTTAAAGCGGGACTACTCAATGAACGTCTGGTTGCAACTCCTCCCACGCTCATTGCGCAATGTCGAGTGTGTATCTGGTTTCCCTTATTTGGGGCAGGACTCTCGGGTGTGGCTGCCGGAAGTCAAATTCTGCGATAATCTCGTCTCCACCTTGACGAGGGCGTGTGCATCTGGACGGTGGTTATGGTCACAGCCCCTTCACGGTCGCTCCGTACACGGCAACTCGCACAGAAAGCGTCATCGACCTTCGCACAATTGGGAATTCGACATTTCTGCCGGCTTCGTCCCACGGTTTCTTTCCATTGTTGATGCTCCACGGTGCTTTCTCTACGGTAGAAACTACACCGTCACCTCATTTCACAACTTCCTTCGCACAGGGCAAAACTTGCTTCAGACGAAAGTGACTGTATATGGTGAATGGCGAATACCATCTCCCGCATTGTCATGCCTGTGTAACGCTCTGAGCTGCGTTGCAATCATAGGGCAGAGAAGTTTAGACGGCATGGACAACCTAAGTCTCTGGTGCAAATGGGGGAAAGTCGGACCAATGGAGGTCGGACGAGAGCGCGAACACCTCTCCTTTTGGCCAACCAGGCTCGTTCGGTCCCTTGTCAGTCTGCGCGTTCCAAACGTCCGCTGTCTTTTGAGCCAACTCTGTGTCCGTGTTGAAGTCAACGAGGTGAACTAGCGGGTGCAGAACATCGTGTCTCTTGAAGACCTGAGCCACATCGTCGCCTGTCAGATCGCCTGAACCATTCTTGCCAAGCCAATTTTGTCTGAGGAGAGGTCTTAGGGCACACAGCGCCTTCTGAATCTCTGTATAGTTTTCGCGTACGAGTGTCCTCTTTCGCTTTTCGGCTTCTGTCTCGCGCCGGGAAGCTACGTAACCATCTACGCTGTGTAGTCGTGCAGCAAGCGAAATAAATGCTGCGTAGCCGCGATCGTCAACTGACTCAATCTTCAAACACAGGTGCTTGACCTTGCCGGACGTGCAAAGAGCATCGAAAAGCTGTCTCGCAGTTTCCGTGAGAAGATCCTCGTCGCCTTCCACTTCGTAGAATTCGAGGGACAAACACTCGACGCCCCTTAGAAGGGACAGAGCTTCTGTCACGTCGGAACGTGAACTGATGTCAGGCGCATGAAACATGCGCAGGCTCTTTGGCTTCCGCACCACTAAGGCATCCACGATGGGTTGCGAAGGCAATGCGACCTGAAAGTCCCACTCAAATGTTTCGAGGTTGGGCATCTGCTCGATGATCGCTACGAGCTCTCTCTCGCAATCGGCCCACGAATCGATCCCGGATATCTGCCCTTTCCCTGTTGGTCCCTCCATCATGACCCAGTCTACAGGTTCATCCGCGTAAATCCCGATCTCGATGTAATCGTCCAAGGTTGCCGAAAAGGCATCTGGGTAGTAGAAGTCCGATGGATAGGCATACGGGAGCCACTCGGGATGCTCTCTCTTTTGCACACACAAGTTGCATGGAATGTTGCAATCTTCTGGCGTTCCATCATGACCGCCGGAGGTGTAAGGTTGTAGCTTCACGAGCTTTCGTCGGTCCATAAACAGCAGCTCGAAAGGGGGCGGCAGCGGTCTCGGCTTCGGCTCGTCGAGGAGGCGCCACATCATTGAATCTGCCCTCATGTCCCACGGGGTTTCCGCTCGCCAGACAAATTTTCTGGCGTGTTTCAGCTCCTCGATATTGGACGAAAGCCTGTCGCCCAGTAAGGACTCGTCCAAGACAGCTCCCCGGCTCGCCAGGAGAGAAGGTGCGAGAACGTCCCACCAAGACCTTGTTGTTTCCAAGAGCGACCAAACGCTGTCGTATTCCTTCCATGCTACAAGGTATCTGGCTACCTCAATGCGCAGCTCGTATGGCAGCCGCCGGAAAATGTCGTGGCAGTGGCTGGGAGGTTCACCCATGGTGATGGATCATAGAGAGAAGCGAAGGTGAGCTCTCGGCACCTTGTGCTCTCGTCGTCCACGCGGTGGGCGTTTGATTTTTAGTGCAATTCTTCGTGGTCGCGAGAATGTGCCTCAGCTTCTGGAATAGAACCATTTCTGTATTGATCACGGTGGAGGACTTTAAATATGTTCGTGCTGTCGGTGCATGCATAGATCCAGACCGATCGGAAGGCGCCCGCGAGGGCGTGCTCCTCGTCAAAATTAGAATTTTGATGAAGACAGCCAATCTGCCCCTCCGTCTTCAGTAGCCTCTGTTTCCCGCATGGTGAAATTTTGCTCTTCAGGCTTTGATTGAAGTGGGCGTCTGTCTGCACACACCATGTTGTTGTCCAGGCCTAATTCGTCAGCGATGCGCCAAGCAGCAAGCGACCTTGTGCTCAGGGGGCGGTGCAAGAGTGCTAGAGCCTTTCGTTGCCAGGCAAGTGGTCAGTGTGACGGTTGGGCGTTGCAACGACATGGATTGGTGACCACATGTAGACTCCGCGAGACTGATGATGTGCTCGTGGAACGCCTTGTGGACGAAAAGAGCGGACGACTTAAATGTCGAGAGCAACCCACTTCCCGTTTGCTCCCCACTCTCCTCGCGCTCTCAGACTTGCTCTTTGCTTAGCCTTCGCATCTGAGCTGGTTCTCAGACTCGCGTACCGTAATTCGTCACCGTGGAACGTAGTGTTGTAGTCTTTCACAGCTTATTGCGCTGTCAAGGTGCCTTGCCACATTCACCAAATACGGTCGATACCAACACTTTTCCTCCCGCCGGTCGGGCTCAACGATTTCCGAACTCGCCTCGTCTTCTACAGTCAAGCAAGTTCTGCGACTGTTTCGCTTGCTGTTCCTAGACGACTGAAGCTGGCTGGTCCAGCTCACGCTTTTGCCCTCCGTGGTCATCTTAATCCCTCAGCTCGTCACAGTGTGTCCTTGATTGTCAGCCTTGACACAAATATTGGACTCAACAACACTCATGAAGCCCTTCATTCTCTTCTACGTGATTCTTGGATTTTCAATTTTCGATGCCGTCAGGCCGATTTCGATGGATCCGCCTCCTGGGTGGCAGAAGGCTTTGGACGATTCTGATTCCAAGGACAATTACGGAAAGACTGCGTCTCGAGTTTCGTCTGCCTCGACAGCCAGTGCCAGCGCTACTCCTTCTCCGATTCCAGAGCCATCCACGACTCCGGATCCGCCTGCTCCAACCCAAGGAGCACAACCTCAGGCAAGCTCTTCGTTTCGGAAACCGGTGAGTAAACCTATCTGCCGGGGCGTCGGAACAGATTTGCGTGGCCAAGGGTACAGCAATATCTGTGGAGACGAGAAACGCGTCGGCTTCCGATACGAAGACCCCGCCGCTATCAATCTCAGCGGGCGAACGAAGGAAGTGGGTGGGTGGACAGCCGACAGAAACACCATTCAAGAAGGACAATGCGATCACTTCATCGAGGTGCAGTGGGTGCATCATCGGGGCTTGGCAGATATGGCCGAGTATCTAGCGAACAAAAAAGCGTTCGGAAGTATTCAAGACGCAGAAGCCGCCATATGCAAAACTTTCCAAGGTGTCGACGAGGACGATAATAGACTTGACGAAAACAAAAAACCTCTTCCGAAGCAAAGTAAGCTTGTTGCTTTGCAAAAAGCCTTTAACGTGGCCGACAATCTCTGGGGTATTCCTACCACGATGAACCAGCTCAAACAAAAAAGTATTGGGAATATTATAGTGGACAAGAGCTACACTTGGGACGTTGCTGCAGCGTACGTGCCAAAAAATATCATATCCCCGCCGAAGTTCCAAGGCAAAAACGACAACAAGGCGGCTCAGAGACTGATTACATACTTGAACGACAAGCAAGCCCAGGCATCGGACGTTGCCGATACTTTCCAAAAGGAGTTCGCAAGGCTCCTCATCCAAGCAGAGCCAGAGGCGGCGGCCGTGATGCAGACTTACCCGGACAAGTCCTGGAGAGGTATTCTAGAGCAAGACAAGGCCACCATGACGGCATATTTCACGATGCAGGTGCGTATAGAGACGAGGAGGCGGAAAAGTGTTCCAGAAGCTTACGTCCCGAATGCAGGTGGTAGCAGCTGTGCAAAATGCACGGGAAAAAAATTGCGGCGCCAATCCGAATGGCCAACGGGTACTGACGCCACCCAAAAAAACGGAAAATGGACAATGCTGCCCGAATGACACCTTTGGCGTCAAGAAAGATAGCAATTTCAACCAAAAGTGGGGCGCCTTCTGGTCTAAGAAACGCAAAGGTACGTGCGACGCCAACAATCAGAAGCCGAAGTGCGACACAACAAAGGAGTGCTGCAAAGACGTGAATCCAAACGACATTGCGGGAACTAGCGGCACACGTCGGCACCTTCTCTCCCGCCCGATGTTTATACGAGACGACTGCACGGACGGCAGTGGAAGCGCACCTCCTGCTGATGACTCCAAGCCCAGCATCCCGGGCGATGTACCCGCGGCGGTTCCTCCAGGACCACCTCCAGTAGCTGTAGTCGGTGGCGTGCTGGTTTTCATCCACGACATATGGGCAGCCGTCATCGTAGCGACTACTGTCAAGCAAGCCAGGGACGAGCAGCAGAGCAAGATAGATGACGGTATCAAGAACAAGTTCGTGCCCCTCGCAGCGGATCCGAGCCATAGCGACGACTGCAAGGCACAGCGCGACAATCTCGAAAAGGTGCTGCATGCCATCAACTACAGCCCCTCTGTTCCAGACTGCGCCGTGCCCATTGCTGCCGCCAGTTCATCGTCTTCCTCGTCTACTTCGTCGCCGGCACCAGCGCTCACGATTGCCCCCAATGCGACTTCTTCGGCCCTTCCTACAGCCCCCCCTTCTGCAACACCCGTTCCCACCATGCCCTTGATTCCCAATCGCTGCGAGGGCAAGCACAACACCTATCTCCCCAGCGGGGGCTTCTGCCCATGATCAACTGTCGTGAGGACAAGGCTGGTCCTTGTCCCTCTCCCGCGCATCTCGCCGATCTGTCCATCTGTCCTGTGACCTGTTCTCTCTCTCCTTAACGCTTTCTCGTTCTTCCTCGCCCCCCGCTCTCGTTGCGATTCCGTCTAGCTGTCCTGTTCCGTTCCTTTTCTTCATGCTTCCTCGAGCTAAGTTCCTGGACACTCCCTTTTCTTCACTTGCTGGCAGGACGACCTTGGTCCGAAGAGGCTGGGGTCTCAAACAAGCTGGAGCAGCCCTTTATTTTAAAATTAAAATTGGAACGATGCCCTCTGATCAGACGATCGGCATGAAACTCTATGAGCGCCAGTTGCTATGTGTGCATCTACCCTAGACAGTATGAAAGGTGGACGGCATGACATCACCTGAGAAGACAAGAAAGGGAGCCCTCTACCAACCAAACGGCTCCTCGTACAGGGCAGCACCCCTCTTGTTGGCTTCCGCTCTCACGTCGTCGCAGAACGCCGGGCCGCCGCACGAGACGACGGCGCCAAAGCTCACGGCGCCGTCCATGACCTCGGCTACGTCTGGCCGTGCGTCGTACCAGGCAACAGACGCGAGTCCCAGGGCTTCGTAGCGAGACCGAATGCCGGGCATCATCTTTTCGTCGTCGATGGAGAGCGCCTTCTCATCAATGTCCTGCTGGTGCGTCGTGGACGAAGACGAGTCTCGCTTGGAGAGACCACCATGGTGGCCAGTGATGTGCAGCGAGAGGCTGCAGAGGGCCTTGGATGAAGCATCGGCCTGGGAAGCGGCGTGCTTGAGGATATCAAGGGCGATGGCGGCGAGTGCTGCAAGATCTTGTCAGCTTCCATGCAGCCCATCGCCACTCTTTCTACGACAGACAACTCACAGGGATCGCGCATTGTCCAGACGAGGTGCACCCGCTTGCCCTGGCGAAGGCGGTCGACAAGGTACGAGAGGCAGTGTGTGATGCCGATGCCTCCTGCGGCAAGGAGAAGGGAGTCGATCGACGAAATCTAGGGATGACACGCAAGAGTCAGCTTTACGGACTCGGAATGGGCATGAAGGAGGCCCCACTCACCTCGTCGTCATCGATGCCGTAGAAGCCTTCAACGAGCATCACGGGGTCCCTGCGCTGCGGCGACGATGCATGCGCTGCCAAGCGCTTTGTAAGGCCCTTTCGGACGCGAGCAAAGAGCGTCAATGTCGTGCTGCCGTCCTTTGCTCCCTGTGTCCATTCGGCAACGGAGAAAGGGTGTGCCGCCAGGGGCTGTACGCCGGGGACGTGGAGATAGATGTGTCTCCCTGGCCTGAGGAAGCCGCGCGACCTCTTGGCGTTGACCTGGACGGTGACTTTGAGCACCTGCTCGGCGTCGTCGGTGCCGCTGAGCACCGTCTCGACCTGGCCCCGTCTGAGGGCAAACAGTGTGTTGAAGTAGGCCAGGCGGACGAGGCGCGCAAGCACGTCAAAGCCCCAGAAGGCGCAAGCGACGAGGATGCCGTTGGAAAAGTCGCCCAGAGTGGCGCTCTTGAGAAGCGTGATGTGGTACCAGACACCGACGAGGACGGCGACGGCGACGAGGACGTGGAGGGCAACAAAAGTCTGCGTCGTCGGGCGCGTCAGCACACTACTGCGGGAGAGAGACAGGCGGGCGTCTGCAGCTCACCTCATAAGCCCTCGCGCGCAGAGGCCGGGTACTGAACGTGACCTGCAGCAGGACGAGGACGGCCGAAGCCATGCCCATGCGTGCGTAGACTGATGCACCGTACTTCTTCAGCTGGCCTTCGCCGTACAGCGAGGCGAATGTAAGCATGCTCCTGTAGCGTGGAAAGCTGTCAGTGAAGAGCAGCATAAATTGGGTAAAGGAAGACTCACACGCCGTGGACGACGACGAGCACGCCAAAGAGGACGGCAAAGTACTTGTGGTAGATCATGAGGGTGTGGAAGCGTGCGCCCGTGAGGAGCGCCACGGGTCCACTGCGCGCGGAGAGCATGACCAGGAGCGGGACCTGCAGCGTAGCCATTGTCGCAGCGCGATCGGCGACGTAGCGCGCTACCTGGGCTGGGCCATTGTCGGGCCAGTTGACGTTGCGCGCCGGGTCCAAGATGCGGTAGTCGGCAACCATGGGCACGAGATTGGCCAGGAACAGGCCGAAGAGGACGATGGCGTGGCCTCGGAGGGGCGCGTGCCAGTTGAGACCAAGGAAGCGATACGGCTGCTGGTGTCTGCGAGAGACGAGTGGAGCCTGGGTCAGGTACCGGTCGAGGAGCGCGACTCTCTTGCTCTTTGGCAGCAGACGGCGCAGGGCCGCCAGGAGAACGACGAGGGCGAAGCAGCACCAGATGACATAGCTGAGGGTGCGGTCGAGTCAGCAAGTCACCACCTGTCTTGGAGGCATGGCATCAGCACTCACCAGGCCAGGGCGGGCACCTTGAAACTGTTGAATCTCTTCGCATCGATGGTGTCGAGGTAGTCCTGGTACTTTTGCGTGCCCGGCTTGTACTTCATGCCCTTTTGGCGCCAGGTCGGCGCGCGATCGTAAGGTCGGAGAACCATGAGCGATGATCCAATGGGCGAGGTACGTGGGGGGAAATGGGAAAAGGGAGACGGCAGCGGTGTCCAGCCCATCCCTCGCTCGGGGCTTCTTATGGCCTGGCGCTCCTCGACGGTTTTCCGTATCTTTTTTTTCACTTTCAGAGAGAGGTTGCAAACAGAAGAAAAAGATAACCCGGAGCGCCCGGTTCGCTGCACACCTCCTGCTCACAAGGCCAAGCCCCGGTGATTGCAAGAAGATTGAGCAGCGAGTCAGGTGCGGACCAAGACTAATCAATCAACGCTAGAGCGTCGTTCCATCGCGCCCGTCAAGAGGCTGTCTGTCGCCTGTGGGTTTTTTCCTTCTTTTTCTTTTATCTGATCTTCCCTTGCTTGCTAGCGTTATTTCCAGTTTGAGTGTTCGACAGCTATTTTTACGCTGCGATGATAGCTGACAAGTTTGACATCTGGAAACGGAGAAATTTCCGAGGGCCAGCCAGCCACGCTGAGACTGGACGAGTACGTATAATAATTAGGCACCCCCCCAAGAGCAGCATACTACTCTGTACCTTAATGGACGGTGCGCGTCGACGAACCAATGGGATCACATTGACTCGTTGTCAATGCCAGGCACCGACAAAACGCCTGTTTGAGCACGGCAGTAGAGCCTCGGATTCGTGCAACCACGGCAGTAGATCGATCTTGCTTGCCTTTTTTCTCCAAGAGGCTGTGCCCCGGTGAGAGGAGCATCACGAGCACTTCTATCTCATCCTTTCCCTCAAAGTGAGCTACGTGGCGAGCTGGCCCCCGGCGCACCGCCACGCTCCTAGTAAGGGCTAAGAAAAGCGGGCCGAGTAGAGCGCTGCGCTGAAGTCAGTGGCGTCTTGATCGGGTGCCGCTAGGCGCGAGCGCAATTGCATGTGATGAAAATCCCGCTCAGCTGAAGAACGGGTGACGCCACAAGGTCGCCCTGTTCACCATTCCACCACTGACATTTATTGAGCGCTGCGCGAGTGGCCGGGTCACAAATGCGTATGGCCAGCCCTCAATTATGGCCAGCAAGACCTCACATGTCCACCGAACGCGACCCGAACGCCTCATCCGAAACGGGTACGCATCCCGGGCCCGAAGATAAAGTCAAAATGTAAAATTTCGCCACGTGTCGATATCACCGGGGCCAAAGATATATTTCCGCGGTACAGAATCTAACTGCCCGATGCGGGTGCGCACTGCTGCTGCGCCGTGCGCGGTGCGTTCTTTCAACGACTGTTCTTGCTTCCCAAATTAATTTGCCTCACCTCGTATATTGTTGTCTCGCATCATCTTAGGCCCCTCTTTGGGTGTGCCCTTCCGGGTCCGGACCCCGCGCCTGCCTGGGAGATCTTGTCAGACAACCACAATGTCATCGCCAACCTCTGCCTCTGCATCCTCTGTCTCGTCGTCGTCGTCGTCGTCGTCGTCGTCGTCTTCGTCTTCATCGCCATTGGAGAGCGGCTCGTCGTGGCAGCTCTTTGACAGCATCGCCTTGAGACGGAACACGGGTGGGGCCACCGACGATGACCTGTTTGAGTCGGTGACGAACCCCATCTCGGCGGCGCGAGCCGAGGGCAACAGCCACACGATGGCCTTTGGTGGCTGCGTCATCGCCATGGCCCTCCACGCAGCCTACCACACGCTGCCCGAGGGCAAGGCGCGCGAGACGGCCGCCGTCTACTCGATGCTGGGCCACTTCCTGGGCCCCACGCTGACGGATCGCCCACTGAAGCTGCAGGTCAAGCGGATCCGAGACACGCGCTCCTTTTGCACGCGGCTCATCATGGCCTCGCAGGTCGGAAGCAAGGCCCCGCTCTGCTTCTCGGCCACCGTCGACTTTCTCCTCCAGCCGCGCACCAAGACTGTCCTCACCTTTTCGCCGCCCCCACCCGAGGTCTCCCAGGGCCGGCCCGACGACATCCCCGACTACTACAGCGTGCTGAGGCAACGCACGAGCGCGGGTGAAGTCACGCGCGAGGCCGAGGAGGAGTTCAAGAAGCGCTACTACAACAACCACCGCCTCTTTGAGACGCGGCAGTGCCCGGGCACCATGTCGTACGACAACATCGACGGCGTCGTGCCTGCCAAGAGCAGCAGCTCGGTCCAGTGGGCCCTGCCACCGTGGCAGCGATCGACGGTTGAGTGGCACCGGCTGCACCAGCCCGCCGAGCTAGCCAGGGACGAGGAGCGCGAGCGCCAGGGCGTGCTCACGCTCTCGTCGCCCCGCGCCGCCTCGGCCTGCGCCATCGCCTACCACCTCGACATGCTCGTCTTCATCGCCCTCTTCCACAACGGCATGGGCCTCGACGACGTGGGCGCCACCACGTCGCTCGACTTTGCCCTCCGCTTCCACGCCGACGACATGGACGCGCACCGCAACTGGCTCGTGCGCTCCTACGGCGCAAACGTCGCCGGCCACGAGCGCGGCTACACCGAGGCCAACTGCTGGCAGCAGCGGCCCGACGGCAGCACCGAGCTCGTGGCCACCATGACCCAGGTCGGCCTCTTCCGGGGCAAGACGGTGTCGAAGCTGTGATGCGGCAGTCTCAGAGGGAAGCTACTGTTTATATTTTTAATACCATTTCGTTTCTCATTCATTGCGCGGGGACGGTCGTCCTCTGTGGAAAGACTGGCTCGCACAAAGCAGTCAGACGTCGAGTCAAGAGGCGTTGACGATGTAAGCGACCTCTTACGCCTCATTGCAGGCCCGTGCGGTGGTCTCAGCGTCCTTGCCAGCGTGAGACCGTCTCTCTGATCGAGCTCAGCAGCACAATTATAGACTGCACTTGTAGACAGCATGAGGAGCTGCACCTATCAGGGCGAGCGTGTGTGAGTGGCTGATATGGGGCGGCTGCGAGTTCGAAGAGGGAAAAGTATCACGTTCAAAGGCTGCACCGCCAGGAAGAGATGGATAAACACGGCTTCTCATTACGTCTTTGATGCTGACATCACAGTGCACCTCGTCGTGTCTCTTCGAGGGGCCTTGAAAGGGCGTTGCCTTGCCCCTGTTGTCTTAGCAGTTCTTCGCGCACCCTGTGGGAACGAAGCTCGTGAGCGGAGTGCCTGTGGAGCCAGCCAGGAAAAATATGGGAGCCTCACAAGAATTGCAATTTGTGCCTATGTGCGCAAGATTGCTGTCAGTATTGCGAGGAGGGTTGACAGGAACCAAAAGCCCTGGCACTCACAAGTCTTGCACCAATTGCAACATGTGGTCTTGTCTTGATCGCAGTCACCGATCTCGTGGCCGCCAGGGGCTCCAGCGCCAGAGCCCCCGCTGCCGGAGGTGGCACCTCCTGCATTAGCTCCATCGCCCCTTTTTTTGTGTACAGCATTGCTGTGACCAGCTTGGCGTACAACAAGGCGCGGACCGACATCGGGCCTTGTCGTGTCGCGAACGTTGACGACGTCACTGTAGTCGACGGCGTCCCTGGAAGCAGCAGCGGCGCCAACGATAGTGGGGGCGGTGGCTGTTGCCACTTTGAAAGCGAGAACGAGCCTGGAGAAGCGCATCTAGAGTGGTGCTTGAGCTTGAGAAGGTGGCAGCCTGCAGACCTCGAGGTGTCACTCACCTTGTTGAGCTTGTTGAAGGAGTAATGTGGCACTAGACACAGGAGTGGAGAGAGAGAGGCGCGGCCCTGAGAGATGGCTTTTTGAGTGGTGCCAGCTGCCAGCCAAAGCGGGCAGAGGCGTTCGAGCCGTGGATTCCAGCTCCGTCAAGACCGCACCATCCAGGCACCTCCGTCTTTTGACAGCTTTCTCACCGCTTGTCACTTTGCACCTCAGTGCCTTGATTTTGCAATACAGTCCGGTATAAGTGACAGTGGACAGTTATCGAGTGGATACGCAACAGTATGACGACAGGACAAGAAGTAAACGAGAATGAACACTGGTAAGCGAGAATGCGATACAGACAGGGCCCGATATGTAGCTGTCCTACGCCGAAACTTTACACCAAGACTGCAAAGTGCAGCTCTGTGGTGCGGAGTGATGAGCTGCTAGCAGCCCTTGCACACTGTCGACGGGCGTTAGTTGCACGTCAGCATGGGTCACTGTCGAGCACAAATGTAGTGAGGCTGTTCGACTCACCCTCCTGGCAGCGTAAAGGGTCCTTGAAGGCCTTGCAAAGCGAGCAGCGAAAGCAGCGGCCGGGTATATGCACTGGCTTCCTCGGCAGAAATGTGTCCGGGTGGGGCGGTGGGGCGTACTCGAAGGGGAACAAGCCTGTCGTGTCCCGGGGTAAGATTGTGTACTTGCCGATGCGCTTGGGTGTAGGTTCCTGCCGCCCTTTTCCTGATGAAGAAGCTGCTGTCCCGTGCGTTCTGCTTGTTCCTGTCGACCTTATTGTGGGGGTGGCCTTGGACGAGGGGCGCAGCTGCTCGGAGAGCGATGCGCGAGCAGCACCGCCCGTGAAGCTCGGCGCGGTGCTGCTGTCCTGATGCGAAAAGGAAGAGCGAGCCTGCTTCGTCGTTGTCGTTGTTGTTGTTGTTGCTGTCGTCGCGGAAGCGTCCCTGGATGTGCGCGTGAGGCCGTTGTCGACAACGAGGGAGGGCTCGAGATGGAAAGTGCTGCTGCTGCTGCCCCCTCGATAACCGTACGGGCTACGGTGGCCGTACTCATGAAGAAAGAGACGACAAGCGCTGTGGGGCGGGCCAGCGAGAGGTGGTGTCCAGGATACATTGGAAGAGGCCTCCACTAGGCTGGCTACGGTGACGAGGGCGAAGAGGCTGGCGACGCGCATCAACATCATCGCTGCTGCCTTCTGTCTCGCTCTGGCTCGACTGGAGTAGAGTCGAGTCGAGTTAGGAAGAAGGGAGAACCAGGCGACTGGACGCACATTCTGTCGCATTGAGAACGACGCTCAGGCATTCAAGGTCAGGCACACGTCGCGGAGATGCGCATCGCTATCAGGAAGCGAGTGGGCGCACAGGCGCACAACGCGGAGCGGCCGGTGGTCGACAGGGCTCGTCTTCTGCAGACGCTCCGCACTTTCCTCCCGTTTGGCTCAGCCAGTGAAGGCTCAACCCAGGTAACAGAATGTATAGGCATCTCGGATCCGAGGAAGTAAAGAACGATAGCCGCGAGATTCCCAAGGGAAGCGACAGCAAGAATATTCGACCGAGCTTCGTCCGTGAGGCAGAAGCGGCCTTTCATCCTGTCAGACACGACGCCCAGGAGAAGGTGCCAAACGCGACGCCCAGAAGAAGCATTCACGGCAGACGTACGAGCGAGCGACTCCGGACGTAGACACAGACACACTGGCCTCGGAATCGCTGATGCTCCCTGGCCACTCGTTTCCGCGTCGTTGAGCTAGTCTTTCTTGCGGGCGTCGAGGGTGGAGGCTGCGAAAAAGCCACGTGGCGCCAAAACGCTGAACGCGCGTTCTTTGGAGACAAGGCGTCTCGAAAGAAGATCAAGCGACAAGACACACTACTAATCCAAACAGAGGGACCGGCATCGTGGAGGCACAACATGTCGCTCAAGAACACGCACGCCGCGCTCGTCAAGAGCTTTGCGAGCAGCAAGCCGGACCTCGGCTCGATCAAGACGCAGCTGACGCGGGCCAAGATTGAGCTGACGCAGTCGGGCCTCCTCGTGCCCTCGCCTGCCGACGCAGCCGCCCACCCGTCCGAGGTGGCCATGGCCCGCGACGTGCTCGAGATTGGCGCACTGTCGAGCGTGCGGCAGCGCGACGTCGAGAGCTTCGACCGGTACATGGGTCTTCTTCATGTCTTTTACAACGACTGCAGGTTGGTCTTTCTCTCTCTCTCCTTTCTTTCCAATTGCCTTTTGGAGACTGACCGCAATCTCACGCACACAACAGCACCCACCTGCCGCCGTCGCAGTCGCAGGAGGCGCTGCTGGGCCTCTGCCTGCTCCGGCTGCTCTCGTCCAACTCGATTTCGCAGTTCCACACCACCCTCGAGGCCCTGCCCCCGCACCTCGTCGCCTCGTCGCCCTACATCCAGCACCCCGTCCACCTCGAGCGCTGGCTGATGGAGGGCAGCTACAGCAAGGTGTGGCGTGCGCGCAAGGAGGTGCCCCGAGAGGAGTACAGCTACTTTGTTGACGAGCTCATGGGCACGATCCGGTGCGTGGCCTGTCCTATCCTACCTGCGCGCATATATGCCTGCATGGAGCTCACCTCCTTCTTCTCACCAGGCGAGAGATTGCGTCGTGCGAGGAAAAGGCCTACGACAGCCTGCCGCTGAGTGATGCTGCGACGCTGCTCTTCTTCGACAACATGCAGGATGTCTCAGTATTTGCCAACGAGGTGCGTCTCTTGTCTCTTCTTCTCTTCTCTCTCTCTCTTTTGTTCACCTTCGCTCAACAAACCCCCTTCGAATATGGCAGCGAGGATGGCAGATCAACCCGACGACACAGACGGTGCACTTTACCAACAAGGCTGGCAGTGCCACGCGGGATGCGATCCCCAAGCGGGCGACCATCACGTCGAACCTGCAGTTTGCAAAGGAGCTCGAGAGCATCGTCTGACTTGTTGTTGTTGAAGAGCTACACACTGTACTGTACACACACCAAACACATGGCCATCCTTCCCTGCTGCCGGCTGCCGACTCTCTTCACTGTTTCGTTGCTGCCAGCTGCTCGCTCTCTGTCTCGTCACTGAATCCAGCGGTCGCTTGCACCGTCTTCCCTGGCACGGCCAGGCAGCTTGGCGAGCTGCTTGAGTGCGTCTCTGTACCGCGCCTCCTCGTCTGCCTCGCTGCCGTCGCCGTGCCTGACCAGCTGTGCGAGGGCCCTTTCTGCCTCGCGCAGCGCCTGGTGCACCGCCGATGTCTGGTCTCGCAGCTTGGATCTATCCCTTGCACACTCGGTCGTCTCACTGCTGCTGCTGATGCCTCTGCTCGTAGACGGTGCTTCCTTGTCGCTCCCCTCGTCGACCTGCTGCGCTTCGAGGGCGGCGCGGGCGAGGTCGAGGAAGCGGTCGAGGCCAACGTGGCGCTCAAAGTGGGCCAGGCTCTCTGCACGGCTCGGCGGCTCAACACCACCCAGGTCCGTGCTGCTCCCGTCACGCCACGCAGCCTGGGAGAGGTAGTGGGCTGCCAGAGCGAGGGCGACGAGGGGCACGGCCACGGCCTTTCTCTGCGCTTGGTTTACTGCCACGCCCGCAGGGGACCGCCGTGGAATGGAGAGATTGTGGGCGTCGGCGAGGAGCGCATCGGCCTCGTCGTAGAGGCCCGCCCGGAGACAGAAGCGCATATAGTACCGCAGCGTCTCGACGGCGACGACGGGCTGCTCGACGAGCTCCTGGCGTGCAATCTCGAGCGTCTTTTCAAACGACTCGGCCGTGCTGCTGCTTTCCTGCTCCTGCTCCTCCTCTCCCACTCTTGCCGCGTCGTCGTCGAGGTGAGAAGAAGAAGAGCGGGCCGAGCCACTAGGCCGGCGCACAGCGCTCTGCGACACGAGCCAGAGCTCGGTAAAGGCATCAAAGGCCGTCTTGGCCTGCTTGACGACGGTGCGGTCCTGGCCCGGGTTGATCTGCGCGTGGGCCAGGCCGCGAAAGAGGCCGCGGTAGACGAAGGCGTTGGGTGCCACGCCGTTCTTCTTCATCTGCTCCCATCCATCCGAGGCCCGCCCGAGTCGACGTCAGCGGCTGCGCACAGGCCATGCAGTCACACAAACACAACACACTCACCTCATTGAGGTACTTGAACGCAGCGATCTTCTTGTTGGCATTGAGGGCGAGGCCCATCATGATGCGGTAGCCGCGCGTGTCGCGCTTGACAAACGGCGCCCAGCTCGCAAACAGGTCTGCCGCCTCGCTGAATGCCTGCTGCGGATCCTCGACGTTGAAGAAGGACTGCAGGCGCTTTGTCTTGCTGAATCGCAGCTGCCGCAGCTTCATTGGCGGCAGCGGTGGCGACTTTTGGAAGGTGTTCTGGGCCCCCTTTCCCCGCCTGTCCCTGTCCCACTTGCGCATCTCTGAGTCCTCGCCAGCGTGGCCCTTGTCCACCTCCTCCTCTTCTCCTCTTCTGCCTCGCCTGTTTCCCCCGTGCGTTGATCGAGACTCGTCCCTGCCGCCTCGGTCTGCGTGAGGTCGCTCTCCCGCCTGCCTGCGCTGCTGTGCCCTCTCGCCCCACTCGACGCGCCGCACAGCGTCGGAAAAGAAGCTCTCCGACGACGAGGGCGAGGACCATGCGCGCCCGACTGGGCCTGGCGCACGCCTCTCTTTCCCCGCTGCTCCTGCTCCTGCTGTCCCTGCTGTCCCTGCTGCCCCTGCTGCCACACCCTCGGACGCAGCTGCTGCTGCTGCCCACCTCTCCTTTGTTTTTTCCTGCTGCTTGCGCCGAATCGCACGCTCGACCCTGTCCGTCTTGCGCGCCTCTTTCGCTGCCGCTGCCGTCGTCCCCAGCGTCCGAGCGACGACTTCGACGGTCCACGTCAGCCCGCGCTCACCCCCACTTGCGCTCGCACGTCCGACCCCACTCCCTCTTGCTCCCGACACAGCGGCGCGCTTGGCGGCCTCGACGAGCATCCCGGCTCGCGTCTCCCTCTGTTCTGCCTGCCCCTGCGTTGACGTGACTTGACCTGCCGCCTATTCCCTTTTAGACTTGCCGACCGACGCCAATCTGCGAAGAAAGTGCGACCCAAATTTCGACGTCGTCACGTGTCTCTTAGCTTTTCTTTTTTTTGAGACGAGAATTTCTTGGTGGGAGGAAGAAGGAAACCATCGCCTCGCCTTGCTCAACGAGGAAGAAGAAGAAGAAGAAGAAGAAGAGCGACAAGATGGGCCGCAAGGGGGGAAGCCAGCTCTCGCAGCTCAAGTCGAAGCTGCACAGCTCGGGGATCACGGACCGGCGGCAGCAGTCGCGCTCGTCGAAGAAGCGCAAGTCGGGCGCCTCGCGTGCGGGCCTGGACCAGCGCGCCGAGGCCGAGGAGCGCCGGCGGAAGCTGGCGGCCATTGCGTCGTCGTCGGCATTCAACCCGTTTGAAGAGAAGATCAGCAAGCCCAAGCATGAGGTCCTGGGGCGGCGGGTGCGCGGCAGCATGGGACGGCCGGGCGCGGCCAAGGCGAGTGGACTGGCGCAGCGGCGCGCCACGCTGCTGCCGCAGTACGAGGGCCGCGACCGCAGCGGCGCCTTTCTCGACCGCCGCTTCGGCGAGGGCGACGCCAGCTTGACGCCCGAGGACAAGATGCTGGAGCGCTTCACGCGCGAGCGCCAGCGCGGCAGCGCTGCTTCTGGCGGCTTGGGCCAAAGTGGAAGCAGCTCGAGCCGGCGCGCGGCCCTCTTCAGCCTCGAGAACGGGCCCGAGGAGGGCCTGACGCACTACGGCCGCTCGCTCAACGAGCTCGACGACATGGACGACGTGCGGCTGAGCGATGACGAGGGTGAGTAACGCGTCAAGTGGCTTCTGGGCGACGATGATTTCTTGTGTGCGAGCACAAGCCAAAACGAGAACCGGAGTTTGGATAACACGAGCGAACACAAGGGTCTCCCCGTCCCTCCTGACAAGGAGCTCTGCCGCGGCGGGGAGTCTCTTGCGCTCTCATGACGGCTCAAAACAAGTTCTACTGGAGATTTCTGAGCCCCCCTTTCTTTCCGATGTGTCATATGGCTGCTAGTTGAGCAATTGTCGCACCATGGAGCTGACTCGCGCCTGTGCATGCAGGCCTCGAGGAGACGGCCCAGGCTTCGCACTTTGGCGGCTTTGGCGACGACGGCGAGGACAACGGCGAGGCAGGCGAAGGCCGCACAAAGACAAAGGCCGAGGTCATGGCCGAGCTCGTGGCCAAGGCCAAGCAGGCCAAGAGCGACCGGCAGCAGGTCAAGGAGCGCGACGAGGCCCTGCGCCGGCGCCTCGACGACGAGCTCGGCGACATCCGCGGCCTGCTCAATGCTGCTGCTCCTCCCCCTCCTCCGCCAACAACGGAAGTCGACGCCGTCGTGGCAGGAACCACGAACAAGGACGAGAAGGAGAAGGAGAAGGAAAAGGAAAAGGACCAGTACGACGCGTTTGTGCGCGAGCTCGCGTTTGAGCGGCGCGCCCAGCCCCAGGACCGGCTCAAGACCGAGGAGGAGGCCGCCCAGGAGCTGGCCGAGCGGCTGCGCGTGGCCGAGGAGGCGCGGCTGCGGCGCATGCGTGGCCTGGATGACGACGACGAGGAGGATGGCGACGGCAGTGGAAAGGCACGGCGCGGCAAGCGCAAGCGGCCGGCGGGTGGCGACGACCTCGAGGACGACTTTGACCTCGATGGCCAGACGGCTGCCGACGCATACGGCCTGGGTCTCGGTCTGGGTCTGCGGGAGGGGGAGGGCGATGAGAGCGACGGCGCGGAGGAAGACGAGGAGGAGGGTCAGGAAGGAGACGAGGAGGATGGAGACGAGGAGGAGGAGGGAGATGAGGAAGAAGAAGAGGACGACGACTTCGGTGACATGGCCGACCTCGAGGCCATGGCCGAGCCGGGCGACGACGTGGAGCTGGCCGAGGAGAAGGCAACACAGAAGAAGGCTGGCCTGCAGAAGACGGCCGGCGCGCAGAAGAAGACGGGCAAGGACAAGGACCTGCCATTCACCTTTGCCTGCCCGACAAGCCACGAGGCGCTGCTGGCGACGCTCGCCCGCAGCGGCGCCACGACGGCCGCCGAGCTGCACACCGTCGTCAAGCGCATCCGCGCCCTGCACCACGCCTCGCTCGACCGCGACAACAAGCTGCGCCTCCAGGCTCTGCTTGGCGTCCTCCTCGACCACGCCCTCTACTGCGCGGGCGACGGCCACTTTGAGCACGTGAATGCGCTCGTGCCCCACATCTATGCGCTCTCCAAGACGTATGCGACGACGGGGGCCGAGCACTTTGTCGGCAAGCTGGCCCTCATGCAGCGCAACCTGGGACGCGGCCTCGCGCGTGGTGCGCTCACGCCGGGTGCCAAGACGTGGCCAGGAGCGGCAGAGCTGACGCTGCTGCGCATCGCGGGACTCGTCTGGAGCACGTCGGACCGCTGGCACGCCGTGTGCACGCCCATGGCCCTCCTCGTGGGCCAGTACCTGGCGAGCAGCCGGCTGCGCAGCCGCCGCGACGCTGCGTCGGCCCTCTTTCTCTGCTCCCTCGTCGCGAGCCACGAGGGCGAGAGCCGGCGTCTCGTGCCTGAGGCCCTCAACTGCCTCCACCAGCTCCTGCTCGCGCTGCTGCCCACGGGCGCGCTCCGGCCCAGCGTCGTGCGCCGCACCAACGAGGCCTTTGGCGTGCCTGCGCCTGACTCCAATCTCCGGCTTGGTGGTGACGCTGCTGGCGACACTGCCAGACACGGTGCTGACGGTGGCGATGGCGGTGCCCACGATGACACTGACGGTGAACTCGACATCATCGCGCCCCTCTCCTTCACCGACGCCCTCTGCGCGCAACAAGACAGCAGCATCGATGCCCGCGCGCTGCTGGCGACGACGTACGCGCTCATCGACGAGTTTGCGCGCCTGTATGCCGGCTCGCCCGCCTTTGTCGAGCTGTTTGAGCCCTTTCGCCGCCTGCTCGTCGACGCATACAGAGCGGACCCACGTGGCGGCGGCGGCAGCGGCGGCAGCGGCAGCAGCGGCGGCAGCGGCAGCAGTAGCAGTGGCAGCGCACTCGACGCGCGCCGCACCGCCCTCGTCGACGGCTTGACACGCGCGCTGCGCTCGGCAGCGGCCTCGCGGCGCGCACTGCGCCTGCAGGCCCACCGCGCCCGGAGCATCACCCAGGCCGTGCCCAAGTTTGACCAGCAGGGCTACGACCCCCTGCGCCGCGGCGGCCGGCCCTTTGACCCCGACGCCGAGCGCGCCGAGGCGCAGAAGCTGCGGGCGCTGCTCAAAAAGGAGCGCAAGGGCGCCGTGCGCGAGCTCCGCCGCGACGGCCAATTTCTTGCTGCTGAGCGCGCACGCAGGCACGACGACGAGGCGCGCGACTACAAGCGCAAGATGGACCGCATCCTCGGCGGCCTCACCCAGGAGCGCGGCGAGGAGAAGAGCTACCTGCGCGAGAAGCAGCGCCTCAAGCGCCGTGCCGCCTCGTCCAAGTAGCCGTCTGTCCGTCCATCCAAGGAGCAGTCTTATCCATCCAGGTAGCCGTCTGTCCGTCCATCCAAG